AAGTATAGGAATCACAGACTTATTTAGTAGACTCAAAATGACAGGTGGGCATAGTAAAGAAAAATCTGGACTTGGTGTGAATTGCTGATACCTTTGCTGACATCCCTAGTGATGTGCAGGTGGAGCAGGGTGACAAGGTGCGTGTACCAGGTGGGGCAGAGCACAGCTTGCCTACATCTGGTACACATTGGCTATCCAAAATAAGCACAATTCTTCCACCCTGTGACAGAAAGATTTAAAACTAAGCAGGCAACACCAGAAGTACTGTGCTACTTTGGTTGGTTGTGTATTAAGTAGAAAAATAGTAAAGCCTGTTCTTTGAAGGGTTTTAAATGTATCAGTCAATTAAAACCCACATCATCCTTCTATAGATTTTGCCTGTAATGATACTATATCCTTCTGCTTGTAGGCCATTAACCCTTATTATGCTTCATCACAAACTTTCTTTTGTTCTTGCTCTGACAAAGCCAAATTGATGTAAGCAGAACAGCTTGGGCACTGGCATATGTGTGATCATAGCTCTTAGCAGAAACCAGGTCAGAAATGGTAGTGCCTCTGCTTCCATAACGAGCATAAAGCTACTGAAAACACAACTTGGGAATCCCTAAGGGAAATAAATCCAACACACCTCAATGCAAAGAAGGTGTCCGTTTAAAATTACTCTCTAATCTTCCTGTCTTAAAGAGGGATTTCCTTGAAGTAGACTGGAAGAGTCGGAGCAGAAGAAGAGAGCTGAAGACTGGCTGGCTGGCAGGGAGAGACAGAGACAGTGGACTACCTGGAGGTGGGAGCATCGCAGACTTGATACAGATGAAGAAATAAATGATGACTCTAAAACATAACACAGGGTTTATCATGACAGAAGTGAAAGGGTATAAAGACCTAAACTGTTTATTTCCATGAGAACATAATGGTCCTTGTCATCAACTTTGTGTTGAAAGGAATGACTTCCATCTAGAGGATGCAGAAAAAACAGGAGGTAAATTTCAGTACTAGTAATAGTTAATGGAAAAGACCGAAAAAGGGGAGGAATATGGAAATTAGACAGGGATGACATTGTAAGAATTTAAATGTGGCACTTGGCAGCAGCAGAACTGTTCACAGAAAACCAAACAATACTAATCAACACCAGATGTATTGTTATTTTAAAATAGACTTTATTTAATGACAATAAATATAAAGAAATCTTTGTATTCAGAAACTAATAGCAAACATTCTTAGAAAAAAATACAAAAAATACATTCTTACATTCTGAATTTTGTCAACATACATGGAGTCTAAAACAGTAGTGACTGTTTGTAATTTATGGTGCTTGTTAAGGCAACGAAATGGTCACTGGTCCACATTCAGGAAGGAAGAGTCTGGCCTATGTATCAAGTGTAAAAAAGAATAAAATTGTTTCATACTCTAAAACAAATGTTACTTTTCCTTTCAAGCAGATCTTGAAATATTATTAAAGTGACCTAGCTTAAAAAAAGAAGCAAGATGCAAATACTCATATATAGGCAACTCCCCCTATCCCCCCAAATTGTTGTAATGCCTCTGCAGAGCCACCCATTTCAGCAGTTGGAGGTAGAGGCTACAGAACTTGCACAGTTTAAATCAAACAATTAAAACGCAATAATTATGCACTCTGTTGGTTTTCCTCTTTCTCTTTCATTCAGAACTGTGCTGTGAGTAACACTATGCATATGGCAAACTGAATTCCTGATGCAGTGTCTTCTGAAATGAAGTGTTGCAGCTATATTAGCAAGGAGTATGGCACTTCAGAAGGGAATCACTCGAGCAAAAAGTGATGCTGAGTAGGTAATGCCCACGCAGTACTCCCCGCTCTCTTCAGCCTAGCTGTGGTTTTAGCTCTCTGGACTACCTGCCTGTCAGAGACCATTAAATCCGTATCTAAAACCTGCTTTCTGGTTCAGTTTAACTCAAGAGGAATCCAGTCCGTGTGCCCCGAGGTGATGGGAAGCACCACCCAGAAAGGGGGGGATGAGTAGAGGACTAGTTTCAAAAGCACACTCTTGATCTAAACAAAAATGATAATGTAGAAACACATTCAAAGCTGATTGTCATAGATATACATGCTTTGCTGATGTAGCATGTTTTTTTAAAAGGCAGGAATATAAACTGTCAATGACACTGAGGGTTAACTCTTCTTTTAGGAAATGCTGCCAACTGATGTAAAAAGGGGCAACTGAGAGAGGCCACAGGAACCAGACAAGGAACAGAAGACCAGGCACTACCGAAAATCAGCTTGAAGCTCCAGTGTGACCCCAGGCAAGGCACTTAATTCTTTTGTTTCCTAGTCTCTTTACCTCTCAAAGAGGGCAATAAATGCTTCCTTAAGACCAAATAATTACCAGAAGTGGTCCATTTTGTGCTGCATTTTTTTTCTCTTTATCATGGGATGCCTCCTTGCCTGCCCCAGACCTCCAACACGCACTTGAAATGGTATTTGAGGCACACTGGGCTGTTATCACTGATGGGGTTAAAAAAATGGCATCTCTCAGCTGAACACAACTGCAGATGGAGAATGGTCGGTTCAAAGCTAAAATCAAAAGTGAAGCTTACCAGTCTTTCTAACCAAACTAATTTTGCACAGGGAAGTCCTGAGTACTTCACAAAAAATTGTTCCATGAAACAGTTTTTGGACAAAAATTTGTGTTAAATATAAGTTTGGTACAGGGCCAGAGGCAACAGGCACAAACTGAAACAGGAATTTCCCTCTGAACATCAAGAAACACTTTTTCACTGTGAGAATGACCAAGCACTGACAGACGTTGCCCAGGGAGGTTCTGGAGTCTTCATCCTAGGAGATATTAAAAAGCCATTTGGAGACAGTCTGGGGCAGCCTGCTCTAGGTGGCCCTGCTTGAGCAGAGGGATTGGACCGGAAGACCTCCAGTGGTCCTTTCTAATCCCAACCATCTTGTGATCTGGGGAAAAGGTCAAACCAGTATTGAGAGGACATTTTTATAAGAAATTCTGTCTTGTTTAGAAACTGATGTTTGTCCATCTGCCCAATTTATACTTGCTTCCTGAAAAATTAAAGACTTGTCAAAACAGATGGCAGAGGGCAGAATTCCCTGCGTGAAGGAGCACTGGTTCCATCACTGCTATGGTTGACTGTCATTTATTGCTACAGTCTGTTGTGTTTTTCTGTCCGTCCTATGTCTTTCTTTTTTTTGTCTTTAGGTGGTGTCTACAGGGAGTTTTCTGGGCATTCTAATAAGTAAGCTTCATTCCTTCAATGTCAGAGATGCAAAAGGTTCTCTGGTACTTGTGAGTTTCTTCATTTCATCTTTTCCTGATTTTTGAACCATGTTCTTCCATGCAAACATGCAATGTCTTGTTGAGTGAAAGCTTCTGTGGCATGACTGCTGAAAGGACTCCCCTCACATCCTGCCTCTTCTGGTTTAAATGTTGTCATTTTAAAGGATAGGCTTGAGGTACACAACAGTCAGTATTTGGCAGTTTTGCTACAAAATTCAGATATTTGATTCTTTCTGATTATTAATGGGATAAAATACACCTTATAAATGCTACTTGGTTTCTGTAAATGAATTTCTTAATATGTAAAAAGCTATATGGATAATCTGCCTAAAAATTCTGCATATCTATTACATTTAAGAAGAGTACAAAATTACAAAACAGAACAGTAATCACTTGGTTTACAGAGTACAGGCATACTTTCGCTTTTTTAACAAGAGTTTGGTTTTCAGAATTTGTAAAATTTGGTCCACTAAAACTGTTAAAAGAGGAAACAAGTTAATAATCTGGAATATCATTGCTGCAGACAAAAAGCAGAGATCTACACAAATGCTTAAACTGTAATTCCCTAACTCCCAGTTTGCAAGTGGAGCCAAAATAGCCAAGCAGAGAGTTCTGCAGCCTAATTTGAAGATGAGTGATGGCTCTAGCACATACATCCACGCCTCGCACATTCTTCCTAGTTATTTAAAGTGTCATAACGTGGTTAAGGCATATTAAATGGTTTATTCCAATCTCCACTTTCAATAGAGTCATGGTGTTGTTAGAATTCCCTTTATCACGCAATGTCCTATCCAACAGGTCCAGCTGCACATTCTTCCTATGTCAAAATCTATCAGGGAAGAGCACAGTGCTGCTGGTGTTGGAGAAATATAAAAGATAGCTCTCCAAAAATACTGATTTAGTACGTGAAAATACTTTTAACACTTATTACTGTTACAGGTAGGAGATCTTCAAGGCTATGGTCATTCAGAGCAGAATTGGCAAGTGAACTAATGAAAGTACATTGACCGGGGAAAGATAAAATGCCTGAGTTTTCTACCCACTCGGAGCACTGCAAAGTCAGTTTGTATGCATTGATTTCAAAGGCATTTCTCCTGTTTACACAGAGATTGATGAACAGGATGGGCTCACAGTCCTGCTGCTTCTTGTGATCCAAGTCCATGATAAATTGAAATGTCTTGTTAGCCATTTAAGTCTCAGTATGCATAGTTAATGCAGTGTAGCACTCAGCTCTTGGTAGGTCAATTCCAATGGCTTAACAATATGATTTTGAGTTGTATTTCTCTCCTATTTCCTTCATGTTTTGGCTTTTCTTGTTCATTTTATAGTTGGGGTTTGCACTAGCAAGTAATCAAAACTCCTTTAGAAGACGTGATGCTTTTCTTACAACAAATCATTCTTGTTCTTAAGGTTTTATTCAAGTGAAACGAGATCTAACTGATAATGTCTAAATAAAGTGTAAAGCAGTCTATGTATTTGACAGTCTGCATCATCTCGAGGTGAGAAATTTTTTTCTTCACACGTTAAAAAAATAAGTCCCGCTAGAGCTGTTTAAAAAAGTGGTAACTCTTATCTGAGTCACAGTGGTTGCATTTGTCCAGGAGAATCAGGTAAATCAGCAGGTAACAGTGGCAAGAAACACTGTTTAATCCAAAGTGTGTGATTAGCAATTGGTAATATCCGGACAGGTATTAGTTGGCTAAATACTGTTATTCCATAAAAAAGTACTTATTCAGCTTTAGGTCGGAAGGTGCTGTCTACTCCTTTGATAATTTTGTCAGCTATTTTCCCCATAGTTTTTTTCACAACTTTGAGATCATTCTCATGCAAGAGTTTCTGTGTTAGATACTTCTCTCGTTTGACCTTGCTCTTGGTCTTTTGTGATACATCCGGAATGACATATGAAATAATAAACTTCACAAAGTATATGACATGCTGAGGAAGGTGAAAAATGAAAAACTGTCAGTCAGTCTGAACAGGACATTATTATTATTATCATTATTATTATTATTGAAACGTCAGATTATCTTTTAAGACTCTGAGCTGGTTCTATACCAATATCTATCACAATAGAACAGTATTTTAAAAAGCAGACATGACTAATGAGTAGAATAATTGTCTGATAATCAAGAAATTGCGATTTTTCTAATCCTGATTTTAACAAGGACTTCTCTGCCTGTTTTGCAGGAACCCTTGTACCCAGTACTTCCTCCCTGCAAGGAAATACTGATTACTGTTTCTTATAAAAGTGTTTTAGGGTTGTTCAAATGACTCTGCCGCAACAGACTTCTCTCTGCTACAGGAACTCAGATCTAACCAGTTGCATGTTTCTGACGACTTCAGTAGTCCCGGGATCAGTCCATAAGTACATTTTATAATGAAATAATACCTAATATTCCTCTTTCTTCATCTTGGACTGACTCGCACCTTCTGTAAACCCAGATTGTAGCTGCAGAGGAAGGAGAAATTGCTTTTTGATGCTCATCTAGAGACTGGTCTCTTGCAGTGACCATCTTGATAGACTTCACTCTGCTAGTGCACATCTATTATGTGTATATATTCGTGAGGCTGTGCACAAACTTCCTCTAAGTACATGTAAAAATATTTTTGGTGCAACTGTTTCTTCTGTTTCTGATACTAAAAATAATTTACTGTTCTTGAGAAAAGAAACTGCAAACACGTAGGGCAATCCTCAGCTGATGTCATGTCTTCAGAGACTTCTTTTTCTAATGGTGCTGCACTTAAGGTACACTTCCCAAGCTCTTGCCCATGCCAGCAGACATCACCAGCTCTGACAGCTGTGCCTGGACAGAATGTCTTTGAAGGACTTTCTGCATGGAGGGAAGAGGAGTTTAAGTAAATAATGCTCAAAAGCCCATACACTTACCTCCATGACAATGACAAAAGCCAGCTTGGCTGCAATGACGTGCCAGTAGTATATGTTATGCTCATACTGGTGCTGGTGCCCAGGAGGGTAGCGGAAATCCCGGTATCTGAAAACAAGGCAGGAAAGTCAGGAACTAGACTCAGGCATCTCTGCAGTACGGCACTGTGGCCAGAGGATGGAGCAAGACGTGTCCCTGTTTCATGAATCCAGGAACAGTTAGCTGCAAGCAACTACAGCAATGGGTAAAGTCGTATCTGCAGAATAAGCTATACTTGGTTGAAATGTCTTTTATTTTGCCACTGTATTAAGTGTTACGTATGCAACTCTTAAAGTGCTTTTTTTTGAAGACTATCAATCATGAGGAAATAAAAATAAAGTAAGAATCTTCTGAGTAGCAGAGAATTCTGGGTGCCATTCAAAATACGCTGGCTTTTACTGTGCTTTAACATTTCTTCCTGGATATTGTTAACTGAATTAGATGACTTAAACATTTAAAAAAAAAAAAAAATTGTCACTGGAAAAGAATGGCTATTTGACACTTGCCTGCATGTTGTTTGGTTCCCAAACCAAGAGGGAAATGGCATGCTTGCATTCTTGAAGTCTGATATATTGAAGACAGAAAGTGTACTGTTTATATACCCTTTCATAGTGTGACTGCTGTGACTCCCATAAGGAGGGACCGAAAAGGACCAGTAATAAACCAGACGAGGAATCATGTCAGATGTAAAAGCAATGATCATAGCCTACATTTCAGAAGACAAAAAAAAAACAGAGCAGCATTTAAGAAATAAGCCTTAATATGCATGACTTGGCCATATATATTATCTCAAAAGTTACAGTATGAGCTAAAAATAGAAAATATGTACTTCTCCAGTCAGTAGTTCCCTCTGTAAATGAGCACATAGTTACTCACAGGCATATAACAATCTCTTCCTGGAATGTGCACTCTGTACAGTTTTTAAATTACACTAGCTCTGCTGTATGCCTTAAAACAGTTACACTATAACACACTTTTCTCCTTGTAAGCATGCAGTGGAGGTCGGAAGCCAAACTCACTTTAAAGTACTCTAAGGGAGACCAGCAAACGTGCTTGCTATCTGATGTACCTATGAGATGCTTAAAGAAATCCTGCCTGATGAAACTCATGAAAACAATGAAAGAATCCTTCAGTAACAGAAAATTACATTTCAAAAGGGACCTGGAGGTTTGAGTAGTGGAATTAAATAAACTACATATATATAGCTGATGCATCTCTGACCCTAGAAACATCCCACTCTTTCTGAGGTGCCAGCCAGCACAAATTCATCTTGGCAATTGCTGCCTCCTAAGCTTCAATGTCAGTATATGCGGAAACTGCTCTTGATGTCCAGATAATTTTTTTTTTTAGTAGCAGCTGCATAGTGCTGTTTTACATATGATGTGACCATTTGTTTTTATCTTACTCCCAAGGGAGTCCCTGTCCTACTCAGTCTGCTAGTCACAAACTGGGTAGGAAATTGGAACTGTGGGTTTGTTTTGGGAAGTCTTTTCTAAACTCATGAACTTTCCAAAACATCCTACTCTAGAGGACAGGTTAACTATGTTTAATCTGATCTCCTCCTCTGCTATTGCAGATTCAAAAGGTTTCCCTTTGAGGAAGACCTTCCACTGGCAAGATCTGCAGCTGAATTTAGCAAAAGGCTGCCCCATCAGCTCATGATAACAGGCACCTCTGGTGCCCAGCACCCCTGAAAGGGGCAACAAGCTGCACTCCTGGGCTTGATGAGAAGTCTTTTGTCCCACAGTAGGAGAAAAAAAAAAACAAAACACTTGACAACATGGATGGAGAAAAACAGGGCAGAGACATGGAGTAGAAAAGTAGGAAGTAGGGATCTAAAGGGATCAGGGAGTGGGAGGTTTAGGCAGAGATGCAAAAATGGGGCAGAAAAAAAGAGCCTAAGAGCTGGTTAATTTGTATTTTATTCCCCTTCATGCCAGTCTCCAATTAACGCAGTCTGTATTCCTCATTCACTTTCGTGCAGCATTCCCAGCAAGGCAGCCCCAACCTGAGGAGGCACTTGTAACAGCCGTAGAAAAAGAGAAGGGGAGAGAGGAGGTAGGGTGAAAAAAAATGAGGACACCTCTTCTACAGTTCCTCAAGCAATGCTTTGGTGGCAGTGCTAGCTAAAACAACCGCTGTCCCTCCTGCCTCTGCCCCTAGCAGCTGAGTCCTGCCCTGTGGTGGCTGCGGTGTCCTGCAGCGGCAGCGGGTCAGCTGGTGGGGCCGGTCTGGCGGGGAGCCCCGGCTGGATCCACTCCCTCACCCGCCTCACCAGGCGTTTGCCAAGGCGCTGCTGCTAGCACAACACCAGGGGCAGCAGCAAGGGGAAAAGACAGGGAAGGGAAAAGGCACTCGGTTGGAAAGGGTGCAAGAACTTTCCCTCACCCCCCCAAAGTAGCACCACTGCCAAACGCTGAAAGCTATCCCAATGTCTTAACTTTTGAGTTGGCTTACTTTGAAGTACCTGAGAAGCTAAGCTCTACTTAAGACAAAAGTTGCAGAAACAAGACTTTCGAGTCTATGGTCCCAGATCCATATTTGGTTCTCCAGAATATTGTTACAATCAAGTTCAGTTGAGAGAAAGTGAATTTGGCTGGTGATAAAGAAAAGGGAGGGGTCCTAAAACTAAAATAAACTTGCTTAAAACTTCCAAGGGTAGGATTTTTTTTTTTTTTTTGGTACTGTACTCTGTCTTAAATCAAACGCAGTTGGCATGCACTTTATAAACCGTTTTTAAGCATTACATGCCAGTGTGAAATGAAGTGAAAATTATTTGGTTATATTTACATGTAGAGTAGGTGGTTTTGGCTGACAAGAAGTATATATTACTGTGTCTTGCAGTTGCAGAGAGACAACCTCACACCTAAACGACTCTGTTTTTAACTGAAGTGCAGGCATAGAAAGTTTTAGTTAAACATAATTTCTTTCTGTTCATTAGCTCATCCATTCAGAACATAAATGAACTAATAACAACTCAACAGTTAGGCAAAAAAATCCTTTCTCCCTTTGGAACAAATGATTTTGATGTTGTTTCTTTGTATCATTTAGGAAGATGCTGGAATATGTATTTACAGAACTTAATATTTGCTCTTACTGATTTTTTTTTTTTTTGCAAGGCCCCAGGTTTCTCATCATCTTAAATCTGGACCCTGTCTAACTCTCCTCCCTCTCTTGGAATGATCTCCAGATGTGCTCCAGAGAGCTGCAAGGACAGAAATATGAAAGCTAATCCTACAGCATCCTCTCAAAGGAAAAACTTTTTTTTCCTCCTGAATTGCACGCTGCATTTCAGAGTATTTCACTGGAGAAGTACAAACAAATAGCACATTCTCTGCTTCCCAAACTTTACTGCATACATTTTTCCATTTATACCATAACTAATTAAAGTAAGTCTTCAAATCAACAACAGATGCTCTGGTATCATACAAGAGCAAGCAAGCAACAAGTCCCAAAACTCATAGTATTGTGCAAAAGTTGCTTGCAAGTCATTAGCAGCTATTCTAACAGTAGTGCCTGAAGGGGAAGATGATGCACTACCCAAGTCTACTCAGCTGTAACAAGACACATAGAAGAGAAGAAATAGTTTCTATGTGCTAGGGAAAAATCACGGATGGTAAAGGAAAGACTGATGATCTACGCTAGATCTTGGATGTCAAAGAAGAAAAAACACACTTAAAGAAAAACTGCTTCTCGCATTTGCTCTAGGGCTCTACAGCCCACACTTCATTAGCAAGAAATACTGATCTCTTTGAGGTCCTGACAACACCTGCAGCAGGGCCTGTTGAACGTGGCAGCCTCCGGAGCTGTGCCCCTTGCACGCTAATGGCCCCGGCGGTGTCAGCAGGAGGCACACTGCATACACGCTGACATTCACTCCGTCTAACACAGGAGACCTCCAAAAAGGGTGACTCGACAAGAAATATGCCTCCAGTTAACAGCCACATGAACATCCAGATTGAGGGCCTGTCAAGCAGGACAGAGTGTAAAACCAAGCTGTAAATATACTTTTGCATATCAAGGACTCCATGTTTTCTGCCCATAAGGAGGAATTTGGAGTGGAAAAAAGCTGTGAAGTTCAGATTAGCCTCAGGTGGGCTGTGACTGGGTAGCAAAGGACACCTATTTCTGGGTCATTTTCCTGCAGAAAGCAGGGCATGAATACATTCCTAACAGAAGCCTACGTGTCTCAGTCCCCATAAGGTCACCAACTCTGCCCTGAATGTCACAGGCACTATGACTAAGGTACTCACGACAATATTTTAAAAGAATCTCAGTATGTATATCCAATCTTTTATTTTATAGTCATATTAGAAGATCTAGCTGAATTGACTAAAAAAGACAGTTAGCTTATCCAATAGCATAACATTGTTTGTTTTTTTTTTTTTCCCAGGGCACTGGAAACTTTTTTTTTCCTTTGATTTTATAAGTTTTCTAGCAGCATAGTTCAAAAGAGGATACTGATTCACCAATAATGTTGCTTCTGCTTCTAGCTATGCTAGAGGAAGCCAAGCTTCACCTGTGAATTTGCATCAACTGTTGGAATTTGCATTATTTGTTAAGAGAGTTATCTGTAACACTTTCTCACACATGCACTAAACCAAAAGACCGCCACCAGTACCTCTCTGGTGGCACCTGATATTTCTAACAATCTGAAATGTGTTACCAAAGTTCCCTTTTTAAAAAAATACTCCACTAGATTAACTAGTAGGCCTTGGATGTTCACGTGGCTATGGAACAGCTGGATTTATGTTTGGCTTGCCTTAGCAGAGCAGTGTGGGACAGATGGAGCATATGCTCAAGCTTGTTTGTCTGTCTCCCAGATTCTCTTGTAAATTTTCCATTCTCAAATTCCTTTTTTTCCTTCCATCCAGCATTTCTCTGTGCTTAGTTCTCTGCCTTTATGCCCTCCTGAGTCTCCTCTCTATGTCCTAGCTATGTTTACCATACCTGTTGAATTGTTATAGTGCAAAATCAAGTTCTGGACAAGAATAATGGCCATTTTGGGAGACCTTTGAATACGCAAAAATACACCTGATACATCTGAAAAACAGCAAATTTATCTGGTAGCTGACATATAAAATTTTCCTAATCACTGAAATCCACCCTGCACTCCTATACACAGAATCACAGAATCACAGAATGTTAGGGGTTGGAAGGGACCTCCAGAGATGATTGAGTCCAACCCCCCTGCCAGAGCAGGACCATCTAGTTTACAGCAGGTCACACAGGAACGCATCTGGATGGGTCTTAAAAGTCTCCAAGGTAGGAGACTCCACAACCTCCCTGGGGAGCCTGTTCCAGTGCTCTGGAACCCTTACAGTAAAGAAGTTCTTCCTCATGTTGAGGTGGAACTTCCTGTGCTCCAGCTTGTGACCATTGCCCCATGTCCTATCGCATAAGGCCATAAGTGAGAAGAGATTGCCCTTTCCTTCTTGACACCCAGCCCACATATATTTATACACATTAATTAGATCCCTCCTAAGTCTTCTCCTCTCCAGACTAAAAAGCCCCAGGTCTCTCAGCCTCTCCTCACAAGGCAGGCATTCCAGTCTGCCAATCATCCTCGTAACCCTCTGCTGGACTCTCTGGAGCAGATCTCTGTCCCTCTTGAAATGGGGAGCCCAGAACTGGACACAATACTCCAGGTGAGGTCTCACCAGGGCAGAGTAGAGGGGCAGGAGGCCCTAACTTGTTCTGCTGCATACACTTTTCTTAATGCACCCCAGGATCCCATTGGCCCTCCTGGCCACAAGGGCACACTGCTGTCCCGGGGACAGCTTGTCGACCAGGACTCCAAGGTCCCTCTCCACAGAGCTGCTCTCTAGCAGATCTCCTCCTAACCTGTACTGGTGCATTTTATTACTCCTGCCCAGGTGCAGGACTCTGCACTTATTCTTGTTGAACCTTACTAGATTCCTCTTGGCTCAGCTCTCCAGTCTGTCCAAATCTCGCTAACTGGGTGCAGAAACCTCCCAGTTTTGTGTCATCAGCAAACTTGCTGAGCAGACACTCTCATCATTGAGGTCATTAATGAAGGTGTTGAACAGGACTGGACCCAGTACTGGTCCCTGGGGGACTCCACTAGTTACAGGTCTCCAGCTGGACCTGGCACCATTGATCACTGGTGCTCCTAATTAATTCAGGCTCATTTAAGTGCTACTTTGCCTCACGTGGTATTCTGACGTTTGGATGTCACACCTGCAGTGAAGGCATTTTACCTTTTGGAATTGTCAGCACCATACTTACATTGGTGGCCACTGCCAGAATGGCTATGCCTTGCATGATGGGCTGCCAGGCACCTATGTCTTGCGCCTTTTGTGGGACCATGCGCCTGAACTGGGTTGTCAGCTTCCACGCATCCAGACGGATTTCCAACATGTTGTTAATGAGAGCCAGAAGAGGACCCAGGGGGAACGATGCCACAAACAGTGTGACAAAGCCAAACTGTATAACTGTCAAAGAGAGAGGTTACCTACATCAATGAGGCTTTCACTTACTGGAGATGTGTGTTTATGAGCACGTGGACTTCATATGTACCAGCTGTGGGGGAGAGACACAAGGAATCGCAGCTGGGTTCCTAGAGAATCTTCTGTAGGAGAGGATAGGAGCAGAACAGCACTGAAAAAAACCTGCTAGGTGAAGGGGACAGGAAAATGTTACAAGTCAAAACATACCAAGAGGAACTATTCTGGGTATTTAAGCGTCCATTTCTTTCTTATGTCTTCATCAAAGACCTGGAAATCTAGTGACTATCTGTCTCAGTGCTGTGCTGGAAAGCCTGAACTAACAATCATCTTATTGGTGCCCAGGTGCTGGGACAAGCACACTGGCACTGCTATGACAAAAGGGATGGTGGCAACAAACTGGAGATCTGCCAGTTCCCAAGAGACCAGCAACAAATCCTGGTGACTCTAGACCGAGCAGTCTGTCACAGGGCTCTGCTGCACAACACCAGAACATGGCAGAGATCTACCTTCTGGGTGCACTTCTCAGAGGGTGGGTCAAAGAAGCAGCAGTACTCCTCCTTTACAATCACGTGCTGTTTCCTAGTTATAAATTGGATTAAGGCTTAGCTGCTTAATAAGAGCTTGCAAAACAATCTGTAATGGCTCATCAAAATTTTTCTTGGAAAACATTTGTCTCCTCTGTCTGTCCGCTTATTAAGCATTGCTTGTATGAAGATTTTCCTAAGAGAATGCTTGTATCCAGCAGTGGTAGGAAACCCAAACTAAACTGCTACTTACCCATTTCAAGATACTCATAGAAGAGTCCGAGTTTTCCAATGGGCTGCAGGTGGTAGTCCTGTTCCCAGCGTGGAACAACCTTTTCTGATCTAGCAGCTGCACAGTATCTTCCAATTAGATTCTTGACCCAACTATCAGCCAGGGAGAAAAAGACCACTAACATTGGTAAAATAACCTAAAAAGTTCAGTAAATGGTAAAAAAGGGACTTTTCTGCTGTTAAAGCTTTGAACAGTGGGTTTAGTTATTCTTGAATTAGTGAAAACCTCCTCCAAACATGAGTATAATCTTCTGTTGAATCTTTTAGTTATTTACAACCACAAACAATAGTGCAGGAGAGCAATATATCAGAATCATAGTGATTTAGACTTAGCCTGTACAGGAGAATAGACACATAAAATTCAAGGTAACAAAAAATCAAGTTAAATGTAGGCCTGTGGTTAGATTAATTCCTTCTGCTCACAAAATTCACAGAATCATAGGATGGTTGAGGTTGGAAGGCACCTCTGGAGGTCATCTGGTCCAACCCCTCCTTGCACAGGCAGAGTCACCAGAGCCAGTTGCCCAGGACTGTGCTCAGATGGCTTTTTAATACTCCCAAGCATGGAGACTCCACAACATCCCTCATCAGCCTGTGCCAGTGCTTGGTCACCCTCAGAGTAAAGAAGTGTTTTTCTTATGTTCAGATGGAACCTCCTGGTGATTCAGTTTGTGCTCTTAGACTCTGGTCCTGTCACTGGGCATTAGTCACTGAGATTAGTGTCTCCCTTTTCTTTACTCTCACCCTTCATGTATTTTGTGTCTTTCTTGTACTGAGGGGCACAGAACTGGATACAGTACTAGAGGTGTGGCCTCCCCAGTGCTGAGTAGAGGGGAAGGATCACCTTCCTCAACCTGCTGGGAACATTGCTCCTAATGCAGCTGAAGATACCACTGGCCTTCTTTGCCATAGGGCCATCACTGGCTCAGGTTCAACTTGGTGATCACCAGGAACCCCAGTCCCTTTTCTGCCAAGCAGCTCTCCAGCTGGGTGACCTTCAGCATATACTGGTGCATGGGGTTGTTCAGGGCTTTGCACTGACCCTTGTCTAATTCCATGAGGTTCTTGTCAGCCCATTTTTCCAGCTTGTCAAGGTCCCTCTGAGCGGTAGCATCACCCTCTGACTTATCAGTTTGATGTCATCAGCAAACATGCTGAGGGTGCACTCTGACACCTTATTCAGATCATTAATACTAGGACAGGACCCAGTAGTGATCCCTGGGGCACACCACTAGTGACTAGCATCCTGCTAGACTTCATGTCACCAATCACCATCCTCTGGGCCTGGCCACTCAGCCTGCACTCAGTCCACTTCGTTGTCTGCTCATCCAGCTCCTTCAATGGCTTCTCTGTATGGGAGAGTGTCAACAGCCTTACTAGTAGACCAGGAGACAGTATCCACTGCTCTCTCTTCATCTACTGAGCCAGTCATTTTGTCATAGAAGGTTCGTGAGTTGGTGAGCCATGACTTTCCCATGATGAATCCCTGCTGACTACTCCTGATGACTTTCTTGTCTTTATGTGCCTGAAATGGTTTCCAGGATTAGCTGCTCCTTCACCTTCCCACGTACTAAGGTGAGGCTGATCTTGTCATCTGAAAGGCTTGCATAAGAATTCAAGAAAACTGATGGATTTGCTGTAGCCATTTTCAGCAGTCAAAGGACCATATTCAAAAAAAGCAGGTGGGGGCAAATTGTTTGTGATGTCTAGCAACAGAGAAAAAACCCAGAATGGTTCTCTTTATACTTGCAGAGTTGCAGAATGAGAAAGCAGTTAAGAACCAGATCCAGAAATGATGCTCAGCATTTCAACACCTAAATGTTCCTTGTCACGCTGGGAAGTGAATTGAAAATTCTAGTCAGATGAATATATTTCCTGTACACAGAAGAGGGAGTCAGTTGCTTATGGCTGGAGCTGATGTCTGCAGGCATGCTCAGTGCAGGGACCCTTCCCCAGGTAAAAGGAGATGTTGAAAAGAAGGATGGGTCTACAGGCCCACCCTGCAACCAGCAGCATATACAGAGCATTGGGGTCTGGAGTAACCATATCTCAGCAGTGCACCCTAGCTTCAGCCCTACACAGTATTTATGACACACTTCAAAGAGGCATCACTGTGCAGTGAAGGAGCGCTATTCATGGGCTTGGAAGAGCCACAGCCAGAGGGAATACAATCCCGTGGGCTGGTGCTTATGGGAATCAGGAGAGCATGAGGAAACTGGGAGTTCCCTACTCCAAGCAACATAACAGTCACTGTTGATTATAAAATAATGAACAAGGCCTGGGAGAAGGAAGAGAGTCCTGGATAGTATTTTAGCCTAAATTAAATGGAGGGCATTTGTGGTTACCACTTTGCTCATTGTTTACATTAAAGGGTGACCTCCCAGAGATCTGCCCCACTGAAAGAGAATGTAGAGGCACTATGAATTTCAAACATCACTGTACAATTAAATGAGTTAAATTACTAACTTCTGCAGGACTTTTAAAATCCCAACATATAACAAATCATTTCACTAAATATTAAGCCACAGTCTTTAGTTCAATATTTTCAGAGTTTCTAATGCCTCAGTTTCAAACATCCAGCCTAAAACACACTGAGTGTGATTTGCAGAGGAAGGAAGCATTTCTGGTTAGAGCTAAAATCAGTCTGAATGACAGAGACAGGAGCTCAGACCTACTAGACTGAAAATATTCAAATTGTCTAAAAAGGCCCCAAAAGACTAGTCTTACTATTTTAGAACACAATGTGCATCTATCAAATTTAGTGACCAAATGCCTGAACTCATCAAGCAAATGCAGTATCTTTCAAATATGAAAGAGCAGATTAACTAATGGTTTGAACTTACGGAAGAAGCACTTCTTGAATGTTGTTCCAGATTGCTTTACCTCCTACTATGATGGCAAGCTGAGTTGTGAGTTCAAGGAGACATCCACCTGGATCACACTGAAGGTTGGGAAAGACAGGAGAAATTTTTGAAGATGGCTAACCTTTTAGGAATGAATGGAGCACTTAAAAGAATGCATTCCTGTTTTATTAGGATAACATTTTTTAAAGCAATACAAGAAGACTAGGCAAACCTTTCCAGTAAGGTATGCAAAAGCCAATTCCAGGCCACATACAGTCATATATGGTAGGTTGACAGGACAATAGTGGAAGAGTGAAATACCAAGTGAAGTCATGCAGCTCTTTACTGCGCTGTCTACTGATGTTTTCCCCTTCCCTTGTGCCAGTTCATAGACTGTTGGACTGTGAGAAAATAAGCTTGTCTGGGTACATGTAGTACATCTCTCAGCCCAACAAGTCTCGTGTCATATTCTTTTATGCTAGGAGTTGCCAAGGAGGCAACTGGCTTGGGAGGCTTTTGCTTCTTGAACACTTATGCTGCATAGGTACAGCTATGTTATACACTCCTAACTGCAGCAGAATACCTGCACTAATTGCTGTTTTAAATCAAATGCTGTCATACATGCTTACCTCTTCATTGCGATACTTTCCCAGCCAATAAACTGGATTGCCAGGGTGACCTACAAATTTACCCTTAAAGAAGGCTATGTAGAAGCATGAAGAATAGTAGTTGACAAACTGGAACAAGAACATCTTTGTTGTCAGACTGTTTTCATACTCAGTCTGTGTCCTTGGAAGTTCTGCAATTAAAAAAAAAATAATTTAAGAAGTGCCAACCTGCAAGTAACATACAAGCTGCTTTAGAGCTTCAGCTGGAAAAGTATGCCTTGTATTCCTTAATATGACTAAGGGCATTGTAAATTAGATTGTACCTAAACTCCATGTATACTGTAACTATTATCCTACTTCTAAAACCACATGCACTGTAAAAAGGAAAGAATCTGTTCCCTAAAAAGAAAGAAAAAGAACAAGCAAAAATTCTGGTAACTCAGGGGAAAAGAAGCACCCAAATCCAGCACACTCAGGAAAGATGCAAATGTAACACTTTGATGAAACAGTATTAAATGAAACTATATTAAAACACTGCACTACTTCACACATCTAAAGTAAAATAGCTACTTCAATGTTGATGGTCTGGATATAAAGAATAATAATATTTGTTACTCTTTATCTATTTAATAACTTTGGAACGATATCTAGCTTTGGAACAGTGACCTTATTTCATCTAGTTACAAGAAAATAGCTATTTTCCCCATAAACAAAAGCTAATGTAATTGAATGTGTTATGCATTACTGATCTGTTTTCATAAAGCTTGGTTTTTATAGTTATTTTCTTTGCTTTGTCTGCTTCACAAGCACAGAACTGTAAACAATTGAACTTTCTTGCTGGCTGTACAAGGAGTTTGCAGGCAAAGAGCTGAATATCATATTCCTTTGATATTGAGAATATTGGTATTTGAAAATTTCTAGGTGGTACTGTGTGATTTGGTGGGAAAATTCTGAAATACGTGGTACAGGTGTTCATTTATTGGAATTCTTATTACACATATAAATGCTATTTTCTTTTTCTTGCTATTTTACCCTAAATTTCTGTCTGAGAAACAGACAGCAGCAACATACCAAAGTCAGTAATCAGGATTGCCACTTTTTCGTAGACGATATTGAGAACCATAATGACTACAAAGCTGATGAGTGAAGCAGTTACTGAAGTGGCTGTCTGCGGAGTCAAGTACTTGCGGATCGCCTCCGTTCCACTAATGTGCTGTGACAACGTTGCAGAAAACACCAGGAAAACTGAGAGCCTGTAGACAATGACTCCAATAACTGAAGCAATAATCAAAAGAATCTGCCAAGGGAACGCAAGAAAGGTGTTGATGTTGAACCATTGGCTTTAGAAAGAAGTGAGTCTGAAACACTTTTTACAATAGGCAAAAGGAAACCAATCGTGCACTTGTTATTCCGTCGCAAGAGCATGATCAAATCAGCTAGAAGGCAATAAATATAGAATCCATAAAAGAAGGCTTTTTTTTCATGCAGCACAGTCAATATGCACAAAAGAAAAGAGATGGTCTGGCTTATGACTAATAACAAGGTTTGTACCAATGTAAGTGAAGATAATGAGATGTGTAATCAAATCTTACGCCTCGAGGCATGCAATGGAAGAAATCTCCCTTTTTTGACATCGGGCAATTGGCAGGATGGCAAATGTACTAGCAAGTCTGCACTGATTGTGGAGGGTGCTGTACCTTCTCTTTCACATGACAGGATTACAGACTCCTTAAAGAAATCAACAAATTTTAAGCCAAGTCTTGTAATCTGCAGGAGGTGTAATAATGATCCATGAATCCCATCTTGCTTGCCATCTCTGCTCTTTCTGCTTCTCTTACTGCTTTTATTTCTTGCTAGTTCTCTAGCTATTATTCAGACTGAGGTCCACAGAGCTGTGAATCTTATTTTCACTGTCTCTGCAAAATGACATGAATCCACCTACCTCTGCCTACCCTGCACTTCAGTGCAGCAACACAAACACAAACCCATACCAAATCTGTCCCCTTCAACCTGAAGTCCTGCCTACTTAAAGCCAACAGCAAGACAGTGTGTTTTCCTCTGTGTTTCAGATGTGTTAATGCTGACACCCTCCTGAGCTGCCAGCCATCGCTATCTCCTATCTGACTCCTGTCACCTAGGATGAGGTCTTCTCCAGCTGCTGTTTGTGCTGCAGTTGAGGAGGACATGCAGCATGCTAGAACATCAAACTTTTCAAGGCAAGCTCTCTGAGCCTGCTCACAATGTTACATATTGTTTCATGGGTGACTGGACTGCTTTCAAGTTTTAGTTGTAATTAGAGCAGCAGCTCTATATTAGAAATGAACCACCTCTGCTCTGTTAAGTGAGATGAAAAACCTGAAAAAGGCCCAGGAATGTGAGACGTGATATTCAGGCAAATAGCTGGAAAAAGTATGATAGAAACTGGCAGGGAAATGAGCATATAAACCACAGTCTTTCCCACACTCTCCATGAAAAGCAAAGACATTTGTCTTAAAATAATGAGGGAACACCCAATGGACCACATTCGCAAGCGTAACAAACAAGCTGCAGGATATTCTGACACACATTTTCTACTGAGTGCATGCTAATCAGTATTCAGTGACTACATCTACTTTATTCATATGCTTCCATACCTTATGGGCCTGGTTTATGTATCAGATGGAAATCCAACTGAACCCGTTCCATTTGTATCTTTTGTTCAGTTCAGGAGGATCTTTTTTTAGACACTTACTAGAGAAACAAATTCATGAGGTGAAGGAGTAAGAGAACTTTACCCAGAAGAAGACTGCACTTGTACAGAAAGTAATCCGTATGCACTTCCCACAGGCAGTGTATGGCACATACTCTTCTTGCTGTAAAATATTTAGAAACAGATCAAGGATGCATTCAATCAATCTTTTCGTAATACTTTTTTTTTGTGTGCTCCAATTAAACTCTATGATATTGAGGGCAGAAAAAACAGGAAAAAACTCCCTGATTTTATTTCCTTTTCTGCTTTGTTATACTGGATACTGACATTTATTCATGATTTCAAAAGTCTTCCCTTATCACAGGCATCTTTTTTTTTGCTTCCCATTCTAAGATAAAAATGACTTCCATAGAAGCTGAGTGTCCTCAGTTCTTGCTGACTTCAGCACTGACAGGTTGCATAGTCCTTTTGAATGGACCTACCCTTCTTGGCTGATCACAGCATCCAAGGTCTTCCAAATCTCATTGGCTAAAATTAGTAGGCACTAAAATTTTTGTCCCTGATCTCTCCATATTTCTCAATTTATCCCACAGAAACAATGGAATGGCTTTCCCAAGGAAAATGTCTACCTGACTGTGATGGCATGAAAATTCACTGTGTCTTTAGAGGATCTCTGTGGGTCAAAATAATTTTTTTTTGGTAGCATATTCTTCACTCTTTGAACTATCTGAAAGGAACTTTCTAGCTGTGATTCTATACATTAAAGGTGGCAAAGGCTTATAAGCTTTTAAACAGAACCATTTTTTTTTTTGTAGTAAAAGATATAAAAATAAGATCTATATCAGATAGTTTCAACTATGGCAGCTAATTCCAAAACTTTCCAAATCCTCTCTAATAAACATTAGTATAATGTGGGTGAAATGTGAAAGCAATGCAAATGATCAGATAAATGCCAGAGCAATATATTGGCAGAAAAAAATAAAAAGTGAAGCTGAGCTGAAGTGAGATACAGAAGCTAAAGCTACCCAAAATGTATAATAAATAGGAATCTAAACCAAGATCATCATAAATATGAAAGCTATTTCATTGACATGAAGATTATCTTCATCCCTGTGAGTTTGCTATTATTAATTGCAATTGCAGCCACATGCACCTAGCAACAATACCTATTTATACATGTTTCAAACAGAAACATCTTTGGTTAAAAAACAGTCTTGGCATGATATATAATGTAACATCTTTCCCTCTATTTCATTCTTTTTTTCCTGATGCATTCTTAGGCAAAGATAGCAAATGCTCTGTGATCTTGGCCTCTGGCAGCAACACTGAATCATTTCTTGGGGGATTTAATAAAATAGACTTGGTCTCCTAAGCTGTGGATGATGCCTACTTCTGTTTATTTATGACAAAGGAACCCCGGCAGTGCAAGCTCCTCAAACAGACAACTACTTTAAGGTGCCTACAGTTAGATATAAATTCCCCCCTGCGTGTCTGTACTTGGCAAGTTCACTATTTCCAGGCCAGATTATCAACTCTCCTTGAAGCACTGCTGATTTATACAGCTCTAGTCCAGATTCACCATTTTCATAGTGTCCTCTCACAACATGTCTGTTGCAGGAGCCATTACCAGTTATCAAACTATTCCTTACCTGTGTGATTTCATTCATTACTACATGAGTGCACCGAGCTTCGTATTCTGGACGAACTAGTTCTTCTTGCTCTAAGTACTCAACTGTGTCCCATTCATACTCCAGTTCAGCCTGTCGTCGCTTCCAAAACTCCAAAAACAAAGTAACTATCCAGAAGATAAGACAAAATAAGCAATACTATGTGAGTACTGGACACTGCTTGACCCCCTGGGCTTTAACAAGAGGCTCAGTTTTCCATGCAGCTTTCCATAGCCATAGAACAAACCCCTTCTTGGCTAATGTGATGGTGAAAATGGCTGTATCTGCTTCTTTATGCAAGTATTACCTTGGATATATAGGCACTTTAATAAGAGAAACCTAGGGTAAATGGTGGTCTAAGAACATGCTAAAAACCAAAGACGTATTTACTTGCTTTTTGCTAAGGCTAGAATAAGAGCACTTTGGGGGTTATATTACAGACTGCTTTTGAAAAAGTTTACCATGGGACGTGTAAGAAAACAAGTCTCTTGGCTAGGGGAAGAGAAAATGCTGCAGAGTGCAGGACTTCTAGAAAAGAACTCAGTACGTCAAAAATTGTCACAAGAAAAAGTTCATGTTCATTCAGTCTGCAGTTTTTGCATGGACTTTGCCAAGACCCAATGATGGTTCACATAAAGCAGTTGAAACAGACATCTTTCCTCCTCTGCTAGCACAAATTTGAACCAGCTGCAGCTCTTTTTGCATGGCATGGAGCTTACAAGCTCTCTAGGCTGAGCCAGTAGTTCCCCTAGACTGCACTTCAACAACTAGTAACACTGTGGGACCGGGTACACAGATACCAAAGTGGTACTGGCCAGCCATGAATCCAGCTAAACTCTACTTTCTCCCAAGACATTATGCGGGTAGACCTGGCAGCAGAGGCAATGACAGACCCAGCTGGGAAGGTTGAGAGGAGTTCAGGATGATGGGTGTCAGTACCATGCTCCCCAGTACACCCCAACGCTTCATTACTGAAGACTGTGCATCTTCAGATGATAGGAGTGATGAGAGTCTGCAGCACTGTCTCCAGCAGGAGTTAGCATCCCATCACTGCACTCCTCATTATTCTCATTCTCTGGAAGTAATTAAATCTAAAAGTGAGGGGCTATTATTGGTTTAGCTCCTCATCCTGAATGATGAAACATCAATGGCATGCAGTTAGAAGTCCGAACATTAAAGGTTATTTCTAAAATCAGGTGTGTCAATAAACCCCAAACTGAAGCATTTTAAACCCAGAAAACTCCATGGGCTGGACTGTGAGATGACCGTGGAAACTGCACACGGGCAAAACCCCAGGAACCCCTCCTCCCCTGATAATTCAAGAGCCTCTTTCATAAGGATTTCTGCAGTGCTTCATGCTTAGAAGCCCAAAGGCCATTCCAAGGAGTGGGCCAGAGGATCACAGCTACTTTCTCCTGCAGAGCAAGATTAATCTTCCATAAACCTCTAACTGCTGCCCAGCCCAAATCACAGGAAGCTATAGGCTATACTGATTTGCTCCAGCTGCAAATCCAGCTGCTGCTGAGGAGTCCAGAAACGCAGGGCCTTCTGTGATAGCCTCTGTCCTAACAGCAAAAGGAGGGCACATAATGTGGGGACAGCTCCCTCAGCCCTAACACAAAGAAAAGTTCTGCTAGCTAAAATAAGCCGGTAGCCAAGCTGTGTCTTTCAGAGCAGGGAAGGTGCTGCTGCTGGATTTGACATTTTCCTTTTATTTTGAACCAGCATTTTTTTAACAGTGGAAACAAATGACATTTCAGAATCAGCAGATCTGAATGTTAATTCCACCTCACATTGGTAATTTGTGGTGTCCCCTTTTCATGTGTCCCTTAACACTGCCATTCAGTATGGTCCGGGTATTCTGCCTCTGAAGCTCTGTCACCAAGGACTGATAAGAAATGCCTCCATTGGAGAACATTTTATTTATTTATCTGATCCTGTTCAGGGAGGGGAACCGGTGATGGCAGCAAGGGAAGTGGAAGCTGCCTCTTGTTCATGACCTTTGCCAGTCTAGTCATATCATCATGAGGGAAGCAGCAGAAGTGTTGGTCTGGAACATTAATGTATAAAGGGCTAATTCCTGAGGCCAAACTCCCTGGTGTTTTATCTCTGAAGGGAATATACTAAAAAAAAAATTGCAATTATTAAAAGTGCACTGAAGATAATGATGCAATAATGTATCTAAAAATCTAATATTGTTTTAATTGTTTTGGACCAGGAGATCAGCAACAGTATTAGAACAAGATGAAAATTACAGCTGGAATTGCACCAAGACCGTAGGTCATTTGGATTCGGTACAATTTTGACTGAATTTCTGTAATACAATTCACTTCTTTATATAGTGGACTTATGACAAGAATACTAATAGGCTTTGCAGCCACCACTATAACCATGCAGCTTAACTCTATAATTATTACTCTTGGGACCATTCTTCAAAACAGCAAACAGAATTTTAATTAAAAAACAAACTGCAAATAAATTAAGTATTCAGGTGATAGGAGATTACATTAGTACAAAACTTCTAATTTTCTTTTACTTAGAGAATTTCCTGCTGGTATTTTGATTTCAGTGTATATATTGAAAGAAATTTCTTTTTGAAATTATATGTTTCATGTTATATATCTTTAAAGCAGTAGCTATTTTGAAGCACTTTAGGCCATCCTAGCAAAATAAAAATAAAACGTATTTTACAAGAAAGCAAATTATGTGTTCTTGTCAGTCTACCTATGAATTCAAAATGTTAGATGACTTCTTTTTTCTATAGTATCCTTTATACAGACCTACCATTGAACTTTTGTTAATTTCTGGGTAAGTTAGTTCAATAAAAGCTAGTTTGAACAAAGTTGCTAATAACAAATTAAGCTGTTTCTGGGAAAATAAACCTTGCCTAATCCCTTGAATACAGCAACAGGGGGGTTTATCCATGGGAAACATCCTGGTTTCAGGTATATTTTCTCTGCTAAAAGGTAAATCTAATGCTTGTAACTACTACATGTTTTACAATCAGTTTCTTAAATAAAGACAGGAGGAAAAAAATCGTGGGAAATATAAAAAATTACTATTTTCCAATTGCCTTGCACAGTCACACAACTGTTAATAGGCACAGGCAGCTTTGAAACTCTTTAGAAAAAACCTTGTTTCTCTGCCAAACATATTTAAGCATGTGTCTGGCTCCTGCTGGATGAACATGGGGCAGCTCGAATTGCTTCCATCGGAATTTTCTCCAAGTCAAACAAAACAAAACAGACACTGAAAATCAACTTGAAGTTCTACAATTTTTTGCTTTCTTGTAACGCTGAAAAAGAGTTCCTGTGAATGTACATATCTTCTACAGAACTACCTACCCGTGAATTTCTGAGTGCTAGGAAATGAAGCCGTTGCAAATTTATCTGTGTTTTCCTGGCTGATGCTGGAGGCTTGGCCAAAATTAGATGACAAACCACAGTTGTTGAAATTAACTTACCCCATATTCCCATAAATACTGCAAACACCAGTGTCCCAAAGCTATCAAATATACAGAGTTTCTGGAAAAATGGAATAGAAAAAAAGGCTTAAAATATAATTGACCTTTTTTTTTCCTCTACACTGATGCTGAGCAGAAGCTGCTTACTGAACATGTTGATTTTTAGCTTTTATGTAGCTTAATAAAAAATTTTTATTGATAATTTCCTAATTTCTGTCAATGTACGCCACCCTCCAGTAAATTTAAATGTGAAGCCCAGAATTAAAAATATAAGCTAAATATGCAGCAAGAGGATAGTAAAATGGTGTGCTATCAAACTTCCTTCCATCTGTTGCATAGGAAGAGCAAAAACAGTGTTTCTGGTCTGGGAACTCAGTATAGAGTTACGTATTTTTAATACATCCACAAAAAGGCAATGGACACATCTGGTTCTCATGAGCAGGACGACAACAAATCAAGCTAGTTAGTGCAAACACATTCTGATGCAATACCTCTGTGGTCACAATTTGCCTTTTCTTTCCATCACAACCTTCTCCCTGTATTCTTATTTCTTTTACCCTTTATGTCCACTGAAATGACACATTAAAGCTGGGCAAAATATTTTTGATGAACAGGTGAAAAATTTTAAGTTTGAGATTGACTGAACCAATGGAAATGAATGACAAAAACCTAACAGTAGCCTAATGAGACAAGATAACAGGGAAAGAAAGTGAGGTTCCTCTAGACAGAACTAAAAGCAAGAGTCTGGCTGTGTCATGGCTAACAGGACATGGCTGTGTCACAGCTTCTGTCATAGCCAACATTGACCTCTCCTTGTACTCATCTCTCCTTGACAACATGGGCCAAATACCCATGGATCCAGATACATCCTTTGGGGAGGGAGGAGCCAGAATTTAGAAATGTCAAAATGTCTTTGGACATTTCCTTAGCAAAACAGATTCAGAGCTACTGAATCAAGACTTTACTAATTGAATCATTAAAACACTTTAGTCCTGCATCAAATATCTGGCAGCTATGTGAAATAAAAAAACCCTTTTTTTTTCATCTTAGATCAAATTTGAGCAATTAATGGTTTTACTTTTCAAAGTTCAATCACTGTATCAAAAAGAACAACACTTTGCACAGTTCCAGCAATTCTCCAGGACATTAGTGGAGGAATAACATTGTTATATATGTATTTTAATAGCATGTCTATAAGCTGTAGATGTAGTTACCTTGGATGATTCACAAGTGATGGTGAGGTTCCAGTAGGTACATACTTTATCACACTGAGGGCACATTATGATATTACCTCCTATGTTGGGATCACATACTTCTTGGCTGAAAACAAAACTAGTCAGTCACTCACCAACACTAAATTCTTTAGTCCTTTTTTGCACATGAGGACAGTGCAATAATCTCAGAGAACTGCAAAATAATTTACCAGTAATCTGCTCTCAATAACTCCCCCACCCACCCAGCAACACATCCCCATTTGCATTCTTAGATCTCATCTCAAAAATGGATGAGATAGATGGAAAATAATTTCCCTCCCTTGGATATAGTGGTAATTCTCAAAACTGATCACACTAAAAATAAAACAACTCTTCAGAGATCTCACACTCTTCAATAGGAAACCCACATTTGCACACTCACACATGCTATATCATAGCAAGTCCAAGGGGAGAAGGAAGAGGAACACTGCCTACCAGAGCAAGGAATAGCTGCAGAACTGAAATGGCTACCCACTCCCTGTGCTCTTCTACAGGGGATCAGACTGGAAAACGTGCAGAAGCAGGCTGCCAGGGTGGATCAAGGAATGGCAGATCTGTCTCCTAAGAGATGGCAAAAGAGTAACCATCTAACTAGTATGTACTAACGTAGTATGGTGAAGGCTGAAAGATGATATAACTGCTTTCTATACATACATCAGTGGGGCAAACACCAGGGAGGGAGATGAACGATTTAACTACATGATAACACTGGCATAAAGCTACTTGGGTATAAATAGGCCACAGGACTGCAACTCTGGAACAGCCCTTCAGCACGTTTTATAAAGAAGGGGATACACAGTGTGATGACCTGTAGGTGATTTGGCACAAGTGTTTTTTTCAGGGTCGCTCTGCCATGGCTGAATTCTGTCATGGCTCTGTGTGACAGCTATGCTGCTTCTCTCAGCATATTCCAGGCAGCTGAAGCCCCCTGTGCTTTTGCTCTTCATCTATTCCTCTCTTAAATCAGAGGAAATAAATATTGGGAGTTTTATCAAGGTCTTTTGATAACTCCTTTAAGGATCACCACAGTGAAATTAATGTTTTATGACAATTTGTATTGACTTCTGATTGGCACTCCTTTCCTTGTGTTTCTACACCAGGTCTACCTAGTACGAAATATATATAAAATTCTGAAATAACAGACTCTCAGTTGTCTATCACTGTAATGGCCCGAGGACACCTATTACCTTTCTTGCCTCGTATTTTACTCCTTTACCTTCAAATCTACAACTGTTGTTCTCAGGCTCTTTCATTTTGCCTCTTTTATTGTGCAGTGTCTTGCAAACCCCCTACAGTCCCCCTCTGTAGGGGACTGATCAAAATCGCATGTGATACTAAAATAACTGATAAAGTACCTCCACGTGCAGCTGTTCTTTGTCAGGCATCCATACAGAAAACAGCCAACTCCTACAACTGCAGCCACGATCAGCATATTAGTGTAAAAGCCCAGCCAAGCAAAGTAGATTCCAATTTTTTCTCCATAGTATTTCCTGTGGAGTGGAAAGAGTTTTTTTCTGAAATGCAAGTAAATTCACATTTCTGTTTCAAATGACTCTTCATTTCAGATATTTTGAACCAACTCTTATGGTCATATTCCTCTGGTTTGAACTTTGGGATTGCAGAAATATTACAGCTGAGTATTTCTATCACCACCATAAAATACACTTTTATAAGAAGATAGGAATGGAGGAAAAAAAGTAAAAAGAAAGATCATACCTTGCAAGGGAAAAATGTAAGTGGCTGCCTTTTAATGAATTGATTTATCATGAAACTGTGCTTAAAACATGTTCTCATTCATGAGCTGATACGGGTGTATGTACCTGCCCTCATTACTGAGCCATGCCTCCTTGACATCCCCAAAACCAGACCTGTTATGTAGATTCCTAATTCCCTCTGCCTTAGTCCATCACTGGTCACACCAACCTGATTAAATCCAGAGGCTGCAGTTTGAAGATGTTTTTGGGATGAGCCCATTCTCTGTAGAGAAGATACCGTTCACTTGGGCAGTTGGGATCAGTTGATGGGTGCCTAAAACTAGACTGCAAAATGGGAAGAAGATACCATTAATCTAAGCAGCACAGATCTCTTCTCTGCAGACCCCATGCCATGAAGCCAGAGCCTTTTGCCCAGTCTCACTGCAAGCCAGAAAAAGGAGCAGGAACGCAGCTCTGGGGGTACACCAGCATTCAGGATGGAAGTCTGTCAGAAAGGCACCAAATGCTAAAGCAAATGCTTTATATATGTGAGTTGAAAATAACAGAGACTCATAATGATCTTAAATCCAAGTACATGTCAGCGTCTTGGCACTTAGGCATAGAAAATAGAAAAGGATCCATTCTAATTAGAGCACAGGACTGAATTAAAATTGATTTTAAGTAGCTGTAGCATGCTAACATGCATTGCTTCAAAATAATATTGTACTGGAATGAAGACTGGAAAGTCCAAGGGATAAATCCAGAGCTTCTAGTCTCTGTTTTAAATTTAAAAGGTAGTTCACATGGAGATAATCCTTGTGTTTTTTACTAGGTTATTTGAAAACTTATTTCAGTAAAGCCTATTTTACTTAAGGGAATTTTCCATTTTTTATCTGTGATGCAACTAGACAAATGACATTTGTAGAAATCTACTTATGATTTTCAGAGCACCTGTGATATATATTTTAATTGTATAAAAAGACAGTTGTTCATCACTAGGCATACCGAGTCCAGGTTCCCCATACCATAATAGAAATAGCCTGCAAGGCAACTTTTAAATCTTTAAAAGGAGATCTTAAAAATGGATAGTCATGATTATATTAGGTCTATCCTTTAAAGCTTTGGATTACTTAGAAGAAACGTGATTTGTCTTGATTTTGCCTTAAAGAGTTCCTTGAACTCCTTGGAGGCTTCCTGAATATTTTAAGGCAAGTCTGAAGAGTTGAAGCTGTTACCATTCCTGACCTCCTAAGTTCTCAGTATCTTCTCAACAGAACACACCTCGGACACAGAATGGTGGCTCTGATGGGGAGGAGGTGTGGGTATACAATAGATACAACGTAAAAAATCACTCCTCAGTCCTTTCTGTATCCCATTTGCAGCCTTACATGGAGTCTTTCCTTATTCAAATAGTCTGAAATCTGAGGTTTTTTTCTCCTTCATTTTGTTTTCCTGTGCTATGGCTAGCCGTTGTCTGCTAAATAATTTTCAGTATAACTTTCTTCATTAAATAGATTAATTTTAAAAGCTTCAGAAGTGTAGCTACAAAAGCTGATTTCTTATTATTGCTAGGTGAAATTCAACCCAGTTAAGCTTCTCTCAAGATGGCTCTGACATCATCTGTGAGATGCTGGATTGTTGGGACAGAGACTTCTGGCAGAAATCTGAGTTCCTTTGTGTGTGTGCCACAATTTTTGGGAACTGTGGGAATGTTTCTCATTGTGTAAGACTGTCACGTATCCTAAGCTGAAATTTGTAGTCTAAATCTTTATTAATAATGTGGATATTCAAAAGGAATTTTATTACTGAAAAAATGAATGCTAAGAAAAGGGACAATGGTAACATTGATCTAGAACTGATGGTACAGCGTGTCATGGGAACAAACTATCACTCAGGCCAGGCACTTTACTGAACTACACCTCCCAGAGAACATAAGTTGAACACCTCCTAAATGAAATATATGGGGTTTTTTTTCAGTTGTGGAGCTACATTTTTAACCAACAGTGCTTCGGAAGAAAATAGTTTTAGCCAAACTATGACCTGTTCTGGTATGCGAATATAATAACCAGTCAATAACCACGATATCAGTAAGGTGATTTATAGTACTTGTCTCTTTTTATATAAGCACCACAGATCAGAGTTCAGACCTCTACTTCGAAATGTATTTACAAGCACTGGACTTACGTCATGAAGGGGAAATGCCGCTTTGTAGATTCCAGTGTCCAGTAATTTGTTAATGCCAAACTTTCTCACATTGTTTTTTGTTGCATATTCCACACGGGACAGGATAAAATGAACCTGAAATTTATAAAATATTTTTGTGTCTTTTACAACTCGAAAGATCGTACACAGCTATATCTATCTTGACATATAATCAAGTTAGGAAGGGGTAAGCAGTGCAGACAAAATTGATTGCACAGTTTATATGAACCATTCAAATCCCTCCTTTAAATTCATGTGGAACAGAAATGGGACAAGTGTAAGGAATTTTTCCTTCTGGATTGCCCAAGCTCCTTCATAAATGCCACGGAACTATTGTATCCCAAATATTTTTAATTTTTCAGGATGCTTTCATGAAGGCAATTGCATTGACTTGATTAAAGGAATCTACTGTTTTTAAGATTAAATGCTAGAAATACTCCATGGACTTACAATTCGGCTTCTAGTTGCAGGATTGAAAAATGTGTCTTTGTCTTGAATATAAAAGTTGGACAAATGTTCCTTTTGAAAAGGGGCAGTGAAAAACTCTTGCTCAGGTTTGATGATATTTTCATCCACTCTGAAGAGCCTACTAAACCAGTTGAAAGCTGAGTCTCGGGTTTTCAGGTCATTGGGTTGCAGGGGCAATTTGATGTGCATAATCTCAGCGTATGTGCAGAGCACTTCCCACGGTGCATGCACTTTCACAAAAACAAGTTTTTCATCCAAAACCTGAAAGGAAACAATGTCAAAAATACATGTGCAAGAAAATGAAAGAAAAGGACTTTTCATAACATTTCTTAAACTGTCCAGAATTTTCTTTCTCTTCACAGCTCATAGGTGACCTACTCAAAGTTGCAATCACTGTCCATCTTAGCAAGGAAATCATTAGCTTCTCTAAAAGCACTGACATGAGGTGGAAACACTTGGGCACATAAAGGTATATAAGGAAAGAGAGCTAAACGTTCCTTAAATGCTTAATCTTTACATTTCTGCAAACTATTTTACAAAGCAATTTAAGTGTAACAACACTTCCCCCTTATGGGTTCATTAGGAGTATTTTTACTTTTAGCCTGGCAGGGCAACTGTGGCTTTGAAGCTGTCAGTGACTCCCCAGCAGCTCATGTACAATCCCGGGGTGATGTGACTTGATGGAAGCAGGCTAGGCACACCCATGGGTGCTCCTGGGCAACATGATTTCCCAGCTTCAGAGGGAGAATGGGGAGAAGGGAATTGAAATCACCTGGGATTGCTGAGAAAGACAGTGAGGGTGTATTTGCTCCCAGATGCACATCCAAACCAGCACCAGTATGCAGCAGGAAACCTCACAGCCATTCATCTCCTGTCTACACATTGCCTGTTGACCTTCTATTGGTGCTCTGCATTAGTGTGTCTCAGCCACACAAAACTATCTTATGTACCTTTATTGGCTCAGGAACATCAGTGAAATGTCTGATATAACCTGGAAAAACCTCCAGTTTAAAAAGTTTTTCAGTCATGACTGTGGTGGAACTATTGAAAACTGCAACGTGTAAGTATAGCAAGAGGATCATGTCAAACTTCCAGCATGCAGCTAACTTCCTCATGACTGTGAGGAGCCAGACTGCATCCTTGGATGTGCAGCAGTTGCCCTCACAGCAGAAATCAAATAAATACCACGATGCCATCGATTCTGACCTCCATTTGGGAGGAAGGAGCAAAGTGACCTTTTCTGGAGCTTACTCTAGGCTACCAAACGACAACAAATTTAAACTGGAAGTGATTATCCTGGATGGGGAGACCTGGACACTTCGGGGCAGGAAGGAAAGGTGCTCTGAGTGCCTCTAACCCTCCTTGCAAGGGACAGCAGCTCTGGCACCTGGTATGCATTAACAAAGCACTCTTGAACTGCCCACAGGCAACATCATAGCTCAAAATATGCAAAGCATGGTAGTTACAACTACTGACATGGTGAGAGGCCTTGCGAGGAGCAGGGTCATGTGCAGGAGCCCTGCGCTGCTCTTCTGGCAGGGGCGCTCTGCCCCAGACACCCACTGGCTTCTCACACATCCTGCACACCCACAGTAGGGGAAGAGCTTTTCCTTAGCGTATAGCCAGTGAATTTTATCTTCCAAGAGATCACAAAAAAACCCCACAACCTATGTATTCTCCCAGCTTCCCATCTTTTATTTTGCAGAGGAAGGAACAGACACAAAGTTTACAAAATTTTGCATCAGATCACAGAGACACTACTGACAGAAAAAAGACAGGCCTCTCTCTCCCGAGGGGACAAAAATGTTACAGTAAATTCATAAACCCAGTTTCCTTATTCCCACAGGGGGAGTTTTGCTCTCAGACACAGCTGCTCACACACAGAAGAGCACTCACCGATCTCGTTGCTTCAAGTTCCAAGCCATTGTTGATCAGGTTTGATTCATACACTTGTCTCTTCCTCTGTTAAAAAGTATTGAACACCATAAAACATCTGTTCTGAATTTCACGAATATGTATGCATAGAAGAATGCAATTGCCTCCCAAAATGAAGAATTGTAAGGTCATTATCTCTATAGCTAACTTGACAGCTACTGTGGTGATAGCTACAGTCTTACCTATTAATCCTGGTCAGGTTTTTTTGTCTGACATGCAATATTGCCCTGAAATGCAACTGTGGATAATTTACCCTCTTAGTTTCTAGTACATTACGAAGGTAAAAATGTGCCCCGAATTTTTAATTTTGAAAGCAATTGGCCCTGAAACTTGTTAACTCCTTCACATTTCATCATTAACTGAACTATTGATGGCAGTTTCTCTCCCCCACTAATCCAACCTTTAGAAAGTCTTCAGGTCAAGGGCTTTCCATCCCACTTTGCTTACAGCAACCTGTAATTTTATTCTTTTTTGACAGTAATCATATGAGTTCATAGAGATTTTTAAACTGTAGTAGCCATCTACATTTTAACCCATGGATCAGCATCCCTGAAGGAAGAAGCCAAGAGTTGTAGCACTTGTATAGTCAGTGGTATAATTCTAGGAACATTCAATGTCCCCAGAAGGACATAGCACATTTTCCTCAGTAAAGATGAAATTCATGGATCATTTTAGTTTCACTCCACAGTTACCAGAACTTGGCAGGCAGTGAGTTGCAAAAAAATCTGAAATATCTTTGCAATCTTGAATTTGCTTCTTCAGACACGTGACCTCCCCTCAGAAAACACACAGAGACAAGCAGCCCCTCTCCCCTTAAAATACAAAATACATGACTCCATAGGGGATTTAGAAGAAATTTTGAAACTTCATGTGAAGTGATTAAATTTAAAAGCTACCTGCATCAACCGGATAGTTCCTGAAGGAGCTATTTGTTTGTCTAAGGCAAGGGTAGCCAGCTGTCCCTAGCCTATAGACCACATGTCAAAACAGTTCTCACAGTAACTTGGTGATACCGCTTTCCTACTCCCACTTTGCTTTCACGCTACTAGCCAATTTTTTGGTTGTTTACATGCCCTGTGTTTAACGCTTTCTGCACCTCCCACTATAGGAACTTAGAAGAAGAATGGTCCAATGGTTTCTGTCACTTGGTTCTTCATAGCTGGAGTAACTGCCTTAAGATCTGTGCTTAAGATCCAGGCTGTGAAGGACCAGAGTCAATGAAATGACCCTTCAGATAAAGTCTTAGGAACTTTGAAAGGTACATGGAAACTGGTCTTCCAGACTTGACCTAAGACCTACTTACTCTAGAGGGCAAAACCAAGACACTTCAGCAAAAAGGGAAAAATATTCAGGAGTTACACAGGAACAGATCAGTTGTGTCTCCACATAAGCCTCAAGAAGTTATATAACATTTAACGATTGTTGTAAGGACCTAAAGCAGAAAAAATTTTTCCAAAGTTCTAGCTTTAATATAAACAGCCTACTCCATTTATACTTTGTTAGTTTTCAACTGCAGCGCCTGCATGTAGCAATGGTCATGATGTACTAACTTCATGTTCTGTTACAGGGTATTTTTTTATCTATTTCAGGTTTTCTGCCTTTTTATTCCAGTGAATATCACCTTCTGCTTGGGTCAGGAACAGGAAGAGCGAAATCTTTCAATCTGTATTCTTTTTTCACCAGTGCTTGTCACATTTCTCCTTATTCCTCCCTTTTTATCAGGGTAAAACCACAATCGCAAACTTTGATAACACTCTTCATGGATGTATGTATATCAGGATATGTATGTAATATGTACACTTATAATATATTGTATATACCTAATACTTCCTATTATCTATAATTCTGATAGTAGCTGAACCTTGATGAAGACACTTAGCATAGCTGTTCCCTGTGACAGCTAAGTCTCTTCCTTGTACTAACAGTGCTAATATAGAATCCCAAACGTGAATGAGTTTTTACCTTGCAGTAACATATTTCCTTGCATTTTTCAACAGTTCATTGTAATGGTGCTGTCCATTCTCCTTCAAAGCTAAATGTTCACAGTCGCCTTGGCTTCTGAGTAAACTACATAATTTCCTCTACAATTTTTGTAATATCATAACTCAATCACTTTACCAGATCATCAATAAATGCAGTACACAAAACAGGAGTTGTTTGTTAGTCCACAATAAACTCTTCTGCCATTTCATCCCACCTCTTTGCTTCTTCCATATTCACATGGTTCTTTAAAAGATGAATAATACTGATTCATGAAAAGAGTTCAATGTGAGTTCTGCTTTGTTTCAGCAAATAAAAAAGGCAGAGGGCCTAAATACCTATTTCATTTCTTCCTAAATAGCACCAAGACAGAAGCAGGGCAATTCTCATTTGTAGAAGTCTAATACTTTTTTTTAAGTCTTATCATTCAGATGGCTTTAATAATTTCTTATGGCAAGGAGTTTCCCCGATTAATTTTGCCCTCAAAATCTTAGAGGAATGTTGACAATATTAAGGTTTCTAATAATGCATTAGTGCAAGTAGTGAGAAACAAAGCACCTGGGAGACTTTGCTAATTAAGGGCTTTGCTGTTTTATCTAAATGATTGAATTATGCGTATGATGATCTATGGAGGAGCTAGACTTTTACCCAGAGGAGTCTATAGTGATTTTGCATTGACTGGGGAATACAGCATAAAGATATGATAGCTTATTAGGCTAAAAGGTGGAGACTGTCCAAAGTTTATTTCAGTACCCATCATTTTGCTCAGCTACCTGCAAGGATAAGTTACAATAGTAATGTAATCATGGTAGTGCTGCTGATCTAAACTTGACATAGACTTTGATGACTGAACGGCTAGCCAAAAGACTTAAGACACTCTGGGACACATAATCATATATAATCCTAAGAAAAGGAAAGCATAATGTAAGTAAATGACAGGTGTTACAGGCACATAGAAGGATTAGTCCTTGTGAGCTGCTTTCTCACCAGAATCCTTTCAATGGCTGTGATTGTCTTGCCAAGCTGTGGAGACTACCAAGATTGCGGGTCTGGAAATTGGTAGCAGACCACTGTCAGCTTTTCTCTCTTTATTTTGTAAATGGTAGGGAGCACTTGCTTTGATTACAGTGACAGAAGAATGCCAGCTCATATCTTTGTCTAGTTCCTTTGTGGCTTCAGGGGAAAAATCCTAGCAAGGAAGGGGTGCTTGAATAACTACCTCTGCTTTACCTGTCAGCCAACAGATAAATCACAGTCAATAAGAGAAAGAGCATGGGCTCAAAGCCTCTCCCATGGAAATCAACTAAAGGGAGCTAAAGGGAGTATCACTCTTGGGTTTTAGCTCTCACAATTTCTTTGATGGTATTTGGTAGCTTTTCTGAAAGGCCCAGCTGTCAGCATCAGCAAATTAATTGATTGAGATTCTTTCCCTTATGTTTGAAGAACATAAAAATGTGAAGCAGAATATGCTATAAGGCTGATACAAAAAAAGTAAACCCAAAGAACTCCAAATACATATTTTCTGAGATACCCTCTGATTTTAAGCGAGCCTCATGATTTTCTGAAACCTGATTCATGACCACGCAGAACTGGCAATACTGCAGTCTAGCCTTGCTCTCAACTGTGTGGCACCCCATTTGTAAAGACATATTTCTGGTTGTATGAAAGTATGCAGCAACTTCAAAATAACTCTCTCCTTCCATTTGTCTTCCAATCCTTTTGTCCTCCTTCCTTCCATCCATTAGGCAAAGAAGTAAAATTTGGGTTTGGGTTTGCCTCAGGAAGAGAGGTGTTATTTCGGTGAGTTCCTGCTTCAGAACCAATCCACCCAGCAGAGACCAGGGCAGATGTGATTTCCCTGCTCCCAGTGTCAAAGGCCACTTTCATCCCTCTTATCAGGCTTCCTAGGTAGGTTGGCTGAGCACGCTGCAGGCCTGTAGAGCTTGCCATCCTCAACTGCCTCAAATCACTGCATAAAATGGCACCAAGGTACCCAACTTCGTCTAAACCCAAGTATTATTCTCTCACTGCAGGTATGATACATGCTAAACTCTGGACGAAGTACAATTCTTTTTTTAAGTTCTCCAGGGTTTTGTGGGTTGGGTTTTTTGGGTTTTTTGTTTGTTTGTTTGTTTGTTTTGTTTTCTTTTTTGTTATCTAAACTAAACAAGTATAAAGGCAGGAACTGTTCCTTATTTGCTTATGAACACAAACTTCCCTAGCCCTGCTGAATGTCTCTGTAAAACCGTACTTTAAAAATGTTGTGTGTAATAATCTCTCTGAATGATAGTTTTCATTTATTTAAAAAAAAAAAAATCTATTTCTGTGATGGCTGGAAATGAAGGACATTCTACATTGATTTATTTTGAATTCACCTTCCTGGTGCTGAGGCTCTAACTTTCAGCAATGAGCTCCTTGAGGACCCCAACAGATAATACTGGCATTTTGGAGCATTCCTGTAAAAACTGGTGATATTTAATTTCTATTCTGATGGTAACCTGTCCTGACAAATAGGGTACATAAATTGTAGGTTTTAAAAAAGTGATTTGGGCAGGAGTTTCAATTGCTTTCAATGTCCAGCTTCTGGAATCCGGTCCTGATATTTTGATTTTTGGTAGTGCTTGCCAAATTAATTGTATAACAACTTAAAAATGTATCTGTGCCACGTTTCTCTGAATCCAGTAAAATGGATGCTTAGATTGAGGTCTCATTTTCAAATCCTTCTGAATAAATTCAGTAAGCATTTGGGGACTTCTTCACTCTTGGTATCATACAAAACCACCCAGTGCAGCACTCACAAGTTTTCACTTCAGAAGTGTAGATCTATAGATGTGCACTAGCAATCTAAATTCTGCCCTGAGTCATGCAATCAGGTGCGGTGCAGCGCATGTCAAGCAGAATTTGTCCCAGTGACTACATCTGTCCTGGTCCCTGTAATGTTGCACATGGCCAGTGGAGACGTTACTGCTGACCTCAGTGAGGTGAGGATTTCACCCTATGAGAACAGACTTCACTGGATATGCTATTATTCAATAAACTGGAATTTCCAAATTCTGTGAACAATAAAGCTCTGGATAATAGCTCTATAAAACTGTCAGCAGAATCAAAGAAAGAGTAGGATGGGCAAGGAACCTATTCAGGCTTAGAGCACCTTGAATTACACAAGATATTGCTTATAAAATTTGGCATTTTAAGTTCATCATTGATCAGAGACAGGCAGTGATGTATGCAGTATTTAAAGCTGATAGTAAATGGTAATATTCATTTTGGTTGTATTTCATCACAAGGGTAGAAGTCACTTGCCTCAGAAAAACTACAACCAAATTAACAGTGGTGTCAGGAAAGACAAGATATGAAACACCGATGAAACCTGTATGTATCTCAGGCAGCTGCTTACCCACACCATCCTGGGAGCTGTGGTAGGCCAAAATGTTAATTCTCTCCCTGGAATTCCAAGGATGCAAAACTGTACCATAAATGTCATCTTCCTTTCCACCTCAGACATAAAGTATATGTGTTTTGTCTCTTCAACTATTTTTTTCACATTTATTTCCATTACTTCTCAGTTTCTCTTTTACTGCTAATATGAGTGTGAGGTAGGTCCTATGGCAGCATCCTGTTCGGTAGGGGGTACTGTTATGTCATATCATGTCATGTCATGTCATGTGTGCTGCCCACGTCTGTGCAGCATTTTTCTTGTGAATGAGCACTTGCAGCACACACATCTCCTCCACTTGATCTCAGGTGAAATGAAGGACCTGTCTTTGAGATGAGTAGTGTTAGTGTGCTTGGAGCGGACCTGCACGTATCCCAGCCTAAAAAGTTTGAAAGCTTGGATCTACACACATTTTAAAAGACTGTTCTTCCAACAATAAAGGAAATGTATTTCTAAACTGATGACAACTATATGTGAGGCATTAGAGAGAGTGAGCCGGTACTTCTCAGTTGTATCACAGGAGTTTGGTTGTGACCAGATGACTCATTTCAGCTTAGGGGACATACTTATTAAACAAAACCTTCTCCACACTCCCTCTTTTCCTTCCACCACTTTTCAGTGCCCTCTGATACTTTATGTGTAAGGTTTTGTCCATTTGGATTTTTTCAGTAGTTCTCCAACTCAGTGTCATCACTTTTGTATCCTCTGTTTTTGTCCTTCTAAGTCTTCCATGACTTCCACTTCTTCACCCTTGTCTCTTTGTATGCTTTCTCCTGCCCTTTCAGCACCATGAGGGCTGGAATACCTCTCCTACGAGGACAGGATGAGAGAGCTGGGGTTGTTCAGCCTGGAGAAGAGAAGGCTCCAGGAAGAACTTATTGCAGCCTTCCAGTATCTGAAGGGAGCCTACAAAAAAGCTGGGGAGGGACTTTTTACAAGGGCTTACAGTGATAGGACAAGGGGTAATGGGTTCAGATTGGAAGAGGGTTAATCTAGATTAGATATCAGGAAGAAGTTCTTTGCTATGAAGGTGGTGAGACACTGGAACGGGTTGCCCAGGGACGTTGGAGGTGCATCATTACTGGATGTGTTCAAGACAATGTTGGATAGGGCTTTGAGCAATCTGGTCTAGTGGGAGATGTCCATGCCCATGGCAGGGGGGTTGGAGCTAGATGATCTTTAAAGTCGCTTCCAATCCAAACCATTCTATGATTCTATGACATGCATTCCCAGTATCAAAATTCTTGCGTACGCCTTCTACAGTACCCCTATGGCTTCAGATTCTCCTTGTCCATGGAACTTGGCTCTGAAAACTTCTATCACTGCTGTTTTCAGCTTTCTTCAGACACAAACACATCACCCCAATCATGTGTCAATCTCCTGGCCATACCTTTGCCCATAATGCCTTTGTTGGCCAGTTTGCTGCCAGGCCACAGGGCTGGCTCTTTTTCAGCTTGTTGTCTGCCAAGACCATGTGGGCCCCTTCCACAGAGATGCTCCCCAGCCACTCAGTTTTCACCTTATGTGATCATTAGTCTAATATACTCTTGTTCTCACATCTGTTACGTGTAGGTAGACTGCTGCTTCTTCCTCAGCAAACCACAGATTCAGTGTGGCTTCAGATCTTCATAGGACTGAGACTTTTGAAAGTAAAGGGATTTTTTTTTTGCAAGCAGCCAGCACATTACCCATAATCTCCTCATCTAATTAGTCATGATTTTGTTCTGGCTAATGTCCTAACATTAATGGTGCACTAAAAATACTACACCATTGCTCACATCTAATTTCCATCACTGTTTGGAAAAGACACTCATTATATTTCTAAGTACATTTGGGGAATGGCCAAATATTACAAACATAAATGTAAGATGCTAATTGATAAAAACAGTTGTTTCCAAAGGGGCAGCTTTTTGTTCCTAATTACCTCTTTCAATTAATTTTTATTGTTGATCCTGTGATCATGTATAATGCAACACCCACCCACTGCAGGACACCCTCAGACCCCACTAACGACATTCCTTATGGCTGCCCTGTTAATGCCAATGAAAACACTGTGTAATGAATATCAACCATCTTAGTTACAGTCTTTTTACTCCGACTCTTCTCTTTCCTAACTGCAAGCTACTATTCCTATATGAGCCGCTTTCAGTGATACTTTTGTCCTTGCCTGTCTTTACCAGAGGGTGCTTCTGGAACTTGAAGAGATGCTAAAGAGAAGTAAGCAGGTGAGTGGGAGAGCGCAGATGCCAAGGGGACTACAATTCCATGGATGGATGTTTCTCAGGCTGTTCACAATTAAAATAGTTCAGTGACATGGCTGAGGTTGGTTTTGCAGCCCTGGGTGCCATAATGAACATAATCCACTTGATAGAAGTAGTTGATAATAATAAAAATAGACTGATTGTTGTTCATAGCTGCTAAGGAGCACCAAGTAGTCACTGGCTTTATAAAAAATATTTTATCCAAGGTCCTTAGGGAGGGCAAGCTGTTGAAGTGTCAACTGGTAAAGAGACAAATTCTGGTGGCAAAGGGACATACAATTATTTCCCATAAAGGACTTAGATACTTCACTGGGCAGAATGTTCATAACTGTGATCTGGAGCATCTGGTCAGCTGCCTCCTTCTATGGGTTCCTCTGTATACCCTGATTTTAATACCAAAGTCCACTAGGGGCCTAACTCAGTCACTGTAAGTACAAAAAATTGCCCTAGTCTGCAGATCTTGGAGTCTAATTCTAATCAGCAGCCTGATAGCAGCATTCCTCTGCTCACTAGTCCTGAAGGGTTCCCTCCCTGGAAGATGCTGAGGTCACCAGCACACAGTGACAGCCACGATGTGCAGCACTGTGCCCATTGACACAGCAGTCTACTGGCTTGAGCTCAGTCCTGCTCCCCTCTCAGTTTCATGGGCTCAGCCTCCATCAGTCTCCCAGCTCCCAGGAGTAGTCCTAGGACAGGGCAATGCAATTGCTGTTCTGGGTGAGGGCACTGTCTTTTCTGCCCACTGCACTTAACACCCCACAAATTATTCAGGTCTATACTGAAAATAACTTACCTTTTGCTTTCTACGATCACTCCTCTTATGGGTCATTTTTTTGCTTTCATCTTCATACACCAAAACAAAGTCAACTCTTCGCTGTCCATCACTGAAGAACAAGGAGTCAGGCTTATCATCAAAATCAGCCTGGAAGGTATGTAAGATAGGTTAATATGGAGAATACTACACGTCAGTCCCTTACCTGCCTCATCTTACACAGCATTTCAGTGGAAAAATTCAACGTCAGACTCACATAACATGAAGACCAAAGTGACAACAAAACAAGCATGGAGCAGAACAGAGAAAAAAAAGTTAAGGAGGGCTCTGCATGATTTAAGAACAGCAGAACTTTGACCTAATTTTGTCCTTTAAAACCAGCATATTATCTTTTGGCAATGGGAGGAGCATTGGGATACGGCACCATTCCTGAACAACGCATCTGTCAAGTAATTTGCATGCTGTCATGGATACAATGTGGGATAGTCTGTCTACAAGATGTGTTGTTGACTGATGTGAGTCTAAGAATTAGTGTGTTCCCATCTGTCCCCTTACCTGCCAGAAGTTTAAGCATCTCTGTAATTAAAAAAAGCAACAAAAAAAATTGGTAGTTTCATGCACCCTAATGCCCCAAACCACCATTGCTCAACAAAAAACATGACCAGGGTGTAGTTAACTCTCAAAACGGTCATATCCAACGTGGATTTCTTTCTCTTTTTATTTGCAACATCTCAGCAAGGAAAAAAACATTGTTTTATGCCACATGCCCATCATGTTATAATATATGCCAAAACCAAAAGGAATAATATACCCATAAGCCATTATCTAGTCCTGGAGGAAAGTAGGATAGATTGTCATATTCACTGATAACATTTTAATGTGTTATTTCATGTGTGAAATGATACAGACACATTGATGACAGAGGAACCTGAATCCCTGAGTAATGATTTTGTAGTTTCTTAGAGTACTCTGAGGGCACTATTACATGCAGCAACCCCTCTTTTCAGGTAATATACAGCTGTAACGTTATCTAGCTTGGGAGCTAGATTTGGCATAGTCCCATCATGCAATCGAACCTGAACCTGGCAAGTTTTCCTCCCACTGAGAGGACTCAGGCATGACTAGGCATGGATGTAAAAAGCAGCCCTGCTGTGATTATTTCCAGTCTTATTTAAAACATAATCACAGTGATTTCACGTTGACTAGATTCCCATCAGGAGGAAAGTCTCGACAACAGCCAAGTAAGTGCCCCTGTTGGGTGACAGCCTGGGAGGTGCTGTGGCAGCAGCAGAAGAGAGCATGGGGAGCTGAGCCCAGTAAGGCACAGAGCCCAGTCCCCAGCCCCTCCTCACCCCTGGGAACCCAGCAGGTTCCCAGGGCCAAAATTGCTCCATGTCGCAGTGCTGGAAACACAGAGCCCAAACCTTGTGACCATGAATAAGGAGGGGAAGTGTTACTACTGCATAAAGCAGAAGGTTTTTTTAATTGGGCTTTTCAGAAAACTTAGAAACAGCACTATAATAACTTGTCTTCAAAGAGACAGAGTTTAGTTGGGCAATTCAAGCAACTGAAAGCACAAAAGTAGTAAAAGCTTTGAGTTTTTTTCGCTACAGTTTTTAGCTCTTTTTGCTGTATGACTTACCCACAGGATAGAAAAGAAAAAAATGACACACAGCAAACATCAGATCAAGTTTTGATCTAAAAAGTTTCGATCAGAATTTGTGATTGCATAAATTCACCATTTAAATAATTTTCCTTTAGATATAGTCTCCTTTAAGCTTATAAAACTAGTAGATAATTTAGTGATAACTGGCTTAACTGGATTGTCAATAACCAGATGCAAAGACTGCCTCTTAATCAGTATTCTGACTCATTAATTTACGTACATACATGATTTAATTAACATGAGTATATACATGTTACCATATATATGCACCTTTTTAGATATATATATATATGTATAAAAAAACCTGATATTTGAGATATATGCGTATATATCTCAAACTACATATATATACATAATGGAATATAGCTGAAAGGTTAATTATTATTGGACTGCATAAATCCAGATACATAGAAGTTCACTCTTAGGAAGCTAACTTCTTAAATGTAATCTCTATTACTTTTAATCACAAGGGGATTGTTCAATTGACCTATCCATAGAAACTTTATATATCTATAAAATACTAAAGAATTGACTCATTAAGCCTGAATACTTCAGGGATCAAGATTAAGACCCACACAAATAAATTGTAATGTAACATTAAATGTTGCTCAATTAAAAGAAAGAAGTAAAATGCAAAAGGGAATGCAATAGTTAAGGTTCCAACAGCTATATTAACTGAGATGTGTGCTGTACCTTGTAATCCCTACTGGATAGTTTGTAATGAAAAATCATATATTATTCAACATAATTACCAGGGGAAAAATAGGACTGGAAACCAAAAAGATGTGTGTACTCTGAAGTTAATAATTCCTCTGAGACAATGTTTGCTTTTTTTTAAAAAAATAAGTAATATTATTTGACAGTATTACAAATGTTATTATCATACAACAGCACACAAGCTTGTGTGCATAGACACGTAAGTTAATGGGGCTGAAATTACAATACATAATTTTTCTTAAGTATCAGTAGCAAATTATAACCCAAAATAATGAACAGGTCCATTGGTACCTCTTTGTTTTGGAAGAAACAAACACGGGGCCTATTTACTGCACTATCTAATTTTCTTAGCCTCAGCATAATCACATTCTAAGTACTGATGGAGGCAATCGGTTTTGCACTCTAATGTTATAATAATACCCTAGTGGACAGCAGGTTAATATTGATTAAGACCATTAACAAATAAAAAAAAAAAGATAATACATTTAGCTGTAAAATACTAATTATATTTAGCACATACTTTGCAGCGTTTCTGAGCTCTCCAAGTGCTCTACCACTGATAGACAGGGAACTCTTGGTTGTTTTATTAACAGAAGGAATCTGAAGGAGAGAAGGGCGTGGTCATGGATAAAGCTTTTTGGAATACTGAAGTTCCACCTACGTGGGCTAGCCTAGAGGCATCACGGCCATGTTCGTGTGGGTGCACCTCTGCGTTTCAGTTCAGAGCAGGGTCAGATCAGGTGAGCATTGGTGTCTCTTCACTCCAGCAAACGAGACTGGAGGTATCCTGCAGTAACAAAAAGCCCAGAAAGGTGCAGACACCACCTCCACGGCACCTTGCTCTACAGACCCACTGCTTGGTCCTGACTATAGACGAACGTACGTACAGCTGGTGGGATCCTGCTGGAGCTGGGAAGTGCTGCACCGATGCAATCACACTGAAGGTCCCTGGCCAGCCCTGAGCAGCCCTCTGCCATGCACAACCTCTTGCTTGCATATCTTCTCTTCATTCTCTCTGACCCTGGCCCCCTGCTGCCACCTCAGCAGAGGAATAAGGAGCTTCCTGTGCTCTTTGCTGAACTTGCACAAGCAGTTGTCAGTAAACAGCACCAGCTCTCGCAGGCCCCAGGACAGAGAGGCACTTGGAGAAGGGTCAAGTGGGACATGAAGACCAGCTTGCCCATCCACAGGGTATCTTTACATCCAGGGATATAAAGGCTGAGGTAACTAGTTTGACTTCAAGTGACCACATCATAGAACTGACCCTCAGCCCCTTGTTCCAGAGCTCCTCAGGAAGGAGACTGCTGTGTGCTCCTCCACACGTATAACCAAGCTTGCTGGTGTCTAAGGGGATTTGCTGAGCCTTACTCCTGAGACTGTTCCTGTAGTCATGGCTACACGTGATGTCTGCAGCAGAAGATGAAAGGAGACAACGCTGATGGAAAGCTCCCTTCAGCAACGGTGATGCTCCATGCCAGGGGAGGAAAAATGGTGGCGTTACAAAGAAACTTGTCTTCACTTTTCCAGGCTTTTCTGGGCATTATCCAGTTAAACATTATCCAGTGGTGGGAAGGGCAGCATGGAGACAAGCATGAAATAAAGTACGTGTACAGGAATTGCAGTTATTTTCTGTTTACTGCACCCTGAACAAGCACAGTATTGTAAGCTGATTTTTTTTAAATAACAAGAGATTCTGCAGGAATGACTTATCTAACTGGAAGAATAAAGGAAGTGCTTTATTTTGCCTGTATGAGCCTTTGGTGTGACTGTCAATAGCACCAAATGTAACCATTACTGGAGGGATAAGCTACTTGTCTGCGACCTCACATAATTTTCAGATATGCTCCATAACAGCTTCCCGCAGCATGCCAGGGAATAAATCAGTACTGGGAACTGAGAGCAGAGCCGAGCCTGTGCAACATTGCCTCTGCTGACAGGCACCTGAAAAAGATCCTGCTGGAGCACAGCAACAGCCTCGTGGGGCACCTGCACGTTACACTTCAGTTGTGGGTTTTACATAGGTGAAAATTTCAGAGTGCCTGTTTAGGTGCACAGTTATTTCTCTCTACAGGCCTCAGGAAACTTCAAATCACGTAAATAAAAAGGGAACAAATTCTATTACCAGGATATGATGAAACATAATTATTTGCAAAGTCCTTTGAGATCATCTGAAGAAAATGTTACAGAAATGTAAAATTCTTCTTACTGTCACAGGTATATAACAAGATCTTTTATTACCCTACATTATGAGTCACCAATAAAGACAACTTTCTGACATTAAGACCAACACAAACCTTTACTATTGGAAGATATAAGATATATGTAAGATACTTCTGGAAGGTCTAAGTTTATTTGTGCATCACATATTAATGTTGGTTTGTCTCTGTAGGGCCATAAAACTGTTGTGCCTGTAACATTTTTCCCTGTGACTCATATTTGCTAGTAACAACAGAGGACTGTTTTAGTTTTGGTTTTGGCAACAATGAGATTATTATCAAGCACTTAATCAGAAGAAGATTGTGTTCTTTTTTTTTTTCCCCTGGAAAAAAAAAAAAAAATGGAAGAAATTTTTACTATGCTACAGAGTGAAATAAACTGAAACTAAAGACTAAGCAGAACAGTACAGGGTGTCATTGCAGTCATACACTTCTGTCAGCAGAACGTGGTTGGTAACCGGCCAGGCATCAGGATGCCTTGTCCCCTGAGCTAAGTTTGGACCAGACACCCACTTGACTTCCTGTCTGAGCGTCAGGTCACTGCTGGCTGTAGAAGGAATTCCAGTCACTCCTGATTAGAGAGAGACCAAATGTCTTTACTTTAAAAGAAAGGTGAAGACAGTATTCTGCTGAAAACCTGCCTTTCAGCACCTCCCATCTTTCCTGTGATGCAGAAGCTGGGAAATTCACTCTTTAGGACTTCCCTGAAACCTCCTTGCTGCAGAAATTGTAATTGAGGGGCAGCAGTAATAGACAATTTGAAAAGTTATCCTCCCTTTTGCAGATGCTGACTAAAAAAAAAAAAAAAAAAATCTTAGTATTACTCCAAATTCAAACTACCTACCTATAAAGCAGACATGTCTGCAAAATGAAACATCTGAGAACTGGAAAAGGCTTGAATTAATGGTCGCTATGCAGTTTTGTCTTCCTCGTACATATAGGTTATCATACATGACTTAATTGCACAACCATATGCCATACTTGTACCCTCCTTATAGTAGTTATGGAATACTCCTTATTGTCAATGTCTTCTGTTGTTACACCAAATCTATCTAAATAGCCCAAATGTCTAAAACAGGGGTTTAGTTTTGACTGTGCCAGTGGTGCTCTCCTCAGAGAACCTCAATGTCCTACAAATGTTGAGAAATTTCATTTTACAAGATCCAGGAGACAAAGTAACAGTTTAATAGTTTAATACTCCTTTCACATAAGGCAGCTAGAGATCAATGTCAAAACCTGTTGACTGTCTCCTAAATTTGAAGTTCTACCTTAAGACAGCAGGACAGTGACATCTTTCCACAAAGCTCAGCTATTCTCTCTCTTCAAAGAGCAATATGCTTACTTTCAGATCCGTAGGTGTCTATCAAAAACTAATGCAAGTAGGGCCACATATGTTCGTCCTTGACACTCAGGAAGTAAACGAAAGCTGGATGTGACTTCGCAAGTCTTGCACAGAAGCCCTTTGTCAGGAGCAAGGATAAAATCCAATTATCTAGGACCAAACTCAAGTTTTTCTAGTTGTAAGAGCCTTTCATTCCTTCTTTGCAATTTCCTGCCACATTTACACCTTGCTGAAGTACTACAAACAACATCCTCACAGAATTTGGGCTTTTTAGAGATTAACATCCTACTCGTGCCAAACGAGGAAAGGATCTTGTGGCAAACTTAGCATGTGATCCTCTAGAAACAGCACCATAAGAAGAACAGGATAATTTTTATTAGCCAATAATTTACTTAGTTGTGTCTACTCCAGGATGACTTGCAAAATCAAATAAAATTTCCAGAATATTTCCAGCTGCAGAGCATGATCTAAGTTTAGACAACAGGTGCAGTATTTCCCTTCCATTCAGTCGTTTACGGTCAGGCTTCCTATCCAATTTCCATTCTAGCTGAGAGTACCACTCACCCATTTCACAGACAGGCTCAGTAGACCTCAACTGTATCTTCCTGGACCCTCCAATCCACTGAAACAGTCCAGTGACTGACAAGGAGGACCTGACACAGAAAAAGCAGTGCAAAAAAGATGCTGCTAAAACTAAGCAGAAATTATAACTGCTGGTAAACATGAGTAACCAAAAATAAAAATTGATTTTGACAGTCAATTTTCAGTCGAAATAAAAATAAATTCTACCTAGAATGCTCGAAGGAGACTGTCCTAACCACAAGGCATATGACATTACAAATGTTTTGATGCTATTCACTTCATATAAATAATTTTTTTTTAAAATTCATTGAACCACAAGGAGAGGCTACAAAGGATTTTTATAACATCCTAGTCAGGGCACTCAGATGGGAAATGTAACTCTTGGTTAAAAAAAAAAAAAATTAATATTTTTCCAAGACCAAAGCAGCTTCAACAAAGAACATCCTGCCACAAAATGCTGGGGCAGGGGAGGCAAGGGTATCCAGCTCCCACAAGGAAACTAATTTCCTGGTACTTTACATATTTATTTCCTACAGTACAGGCAAGAACACCTCCCTCCCCCGCTCTACCCTCCCTCCTGCTGACCCATAACTATGACAAGCACTTTGCCATCTAAGCTGCTGGAGCAACTTAGATGCTCTGGTGCACCTTGGTGCAATGAAGACTGAATCTATCCCTTCATTGCACTGCTTTCAAAATATACTACCACTACAGAAATTCTATTTTTCTTTCTTTTATGATTCTGTTTCTTGTTTCACTTTGCTATAAATTAAATTAGTTTTCAGTCTGGTGGCTAGGCTGAAAAATAAATTATCTAAACAGATCCAGTCATAGTATCTGCATATAAGACAAGGCAGGCTTAATTCAACCCCCTGAATTTGAATGTTTGATTTGCATCTTTTAACATTTTAGGCATTTTTTCAATGTATTGTGTATTCTTCTAGTCATATAAAGAAAACAATGTATTTCCTTACAGGCAGAGAAATCAGCAGGATCTGGACCTCCAGAGCCATTACAGACCTCCTGTGTGCAAAGCTAGAGGAATAACTGGTAGCACTGGTAGCAGGCTGTCATTCCTGGAGTAGGATCCAGCAGACAGCAATAAAGAAATGCACAGGCAAATTCAGTTATTTGTAAATAGCTGATAGTTTAAATGTCAATGCCTTGGGCAGGGCTGACTGGGAACCAGCTCCAGCTTTCATTACTTGGTGGCACCATTACAGAACTTTCACTCTATGAAAGAACTTTCACATCATGAAAACCATCACGAAGCCCTTAGGTGCTCAAAATTAGTTGGTCCAACAAACAATTTTTGGCACTGTTGAACCTGTTTCTTTATGCCTTGTTCTCCTGCAACACTGACCCACTTGGAGGTGTAGCTTGACCAGAAAAGGCAGCCTATAAACAACCAAAGCCAGTGGTGCTAATCTTTGTCATTAGAGTAATGAAACACAGAACAGGCTTATTTTATTTTATTTTATATTATTTTTTTTTGTATCTACAAGCTTTCTGAAAAGATGAATCCTGAACTCACATGCTGGCCAACTAATCCCTGGGTGTGCATGAATCTAGAGGTTATGTGTGTTTATACGTAGGGTGTCTTCATAACTGTTTATCCGTGTATATGCACAGAAATCCTATACATACCAGTATAAAATTAGAGAGAGTGAGACAGAGAGGAAGCGTATGTGTGTATCAATTTATAGTCAATATATATTGGTCACTTTTGAGTACAGGACCTATGTCAACCTGTACGTTCACATCTGAGTCACTGACTTCAGGTACCTTTAGGGAAACAGATACAGGAACTCAGATTCAGTCGCACAGACAAACCATATGCACTGCAATTGTAAAGGAATGCTGCTCTCCTGGTACAGCTACTGACTGATGCATATCTATACAAGAAAAAATTACAGATAGCCATAGTTCAAGTAAAGAAGTACCCACCCATTCAGGAGCATGAAGGTTTGGCTGATCTGGCACAGTTCCATAAGTGGGAATAATCACCTGGTTCAGTTCCAAGACTAAGAAGAAACACAAAAAATTAAAACATTTTAGCATTTTGTGGGGTAGGTGGTTAAAGAAAAAAAATTACTAATGGCTTGTGGAGAAGCCACTTTATTGCACTTGGTGTTTCATAAGCAGAATGTTTGTGCCTCACACTTCAGTAACAATCAGCAGGTGGCAAGAGAGCAAAACATATATTTCACCTGGATGACAAGATGATGCTAGGAGAGCATCCTGACCAAGCTACAGTAACTCAAAGTATCCCTTTGTTAGTATGTGTTACTTCATGTTTCAGAAACTCTATCCACACTCTTGGATACTGAAAGATATGTTTATCTTTCAATGAATAAGAGTATCAGAACCAGCTCTACCTGCACAAATAACCCTAGCTCATGCTGACTGTACTTGTCAGGCAATAACAAATAATAGTACCAGGGAATTCTTCAGAAATTCTGGAATGGGTGTGATACAGGCAGTGCTGCTGTAACATTCACTCTGTAATAGGAATGATTTTCACATAACTTAATTACACACCTACAAGTTCAATGTGTATTGATGCCCCAGACACTCCTTATCCATTTCCCTAATATCTGTTAAAACCCAAGAACCTGCAAATTGGTTTCCTGAAAATACAGCATAAAAGAATGATCTTTTGAACTATGCTACTCCATGATACCATTATCAAACACACTGGAAAACTTGCCATCAGATTAAGCACTGGATAACACACAAATTCATCCTAATGAAGCTGCTGGAAATAATGTACAGAAGTTTTACAATCACTGAAAGATATTTGTTTTAGTTTCTTAGCAAATATTTTGGGGTCTTAAGGAGTCAGATAACATCCTGAGGCTGAAGGCAACACCAAGCAGCTGAAAAGAGAAGGCTGATTAGGTCTTTGAAATAGAGAGGTGTCCTAGCTAAGTCTGTCCTGCACTCAGGAAAGGGTCATGGATATCAATGGTACCTAAATACCAGTATTGTCTGTATAAGATAGCCTCAATTTAGCAAAAATACTATAATACTAAAAGAAACCCCACAAATTCTAAAATAATCTGACCCGTAGTACACTTTGGATAGTCAAGCACTCATCAGTTACAGTGCCAGGACAAACATAACTGATATGCCTGGGTTTGGGGTTTTTTTTTGGGCTTCAAAATCTCATTGATGTGTGGTCAAATTCTCAAGAAGTTTTGAGAAGCTTTTTTTCACTGATGATGCTTATTTGTAACAGCTGAAGATATGTCAAAACACTTAGAGCACAAGAAGACTGCTCTTTACAAATAAACAGAAATCTCTCATGGCCTCTAATGTCAAGCTGCCCGTTTCCAGATCTCTACTGTGGTGGTAGTGATAATATAGGGAGGACACAAAAGCTAGTCCATGAATTTTCCCATCAACATTGTTTCAGAACCACTTGAGTCATAATTCAAAGTCTGGCCCTGTTGAATAATCAGTCTGTGAGCTCTCAGAAATGTTAACATCTTTAGAAACCTTCCCCAACATCTAAAAAAAAGAGTAGGAAAATGTGAAGTAGTGCAGCACACAAACATCACATGGTGAGACCCTAATACGGAGACTCAGAAAACATGAGCATATCTCAGCAGCTACCACAAGACTGCTGTACATGTACACCATTATATTTTAATGGGTTCAGCTCAGACTGTTGTGAGAAGGACGAACACATATTCTTGATGTCAGTGTCATGGACATCACCCTACATTCCTTAAGCCATTCTCTATTCTCTGTCTGGACACCAAGATACCCAGATACAAAGTGCTTCTGAAAACTCACAGAAGAGGGAATGTTTCTGCCTACATGTACTGGGAAGAGTGAAGGAGAAACACAAGCGTCTTGCTTTGAAATATGAACATCTGCTCTGAAACTCTGCCACTACATGGAACAAGCAAATGTGGACACACACGACGATTTCTGCCAGCCACTGAACTGCAGTAAAGAGAGTCATGAGTTAAAATGGTAATTTTTCTAAGTCCTCATTATGTGTCACTATACGCCCTTCATCAGTGCTGTGTACAAATCCCTTCAGCCTCAACTGAAGAAAAGGGGGAAACTTGGCATTCATAGTAGAAAGGAAAATGATAGTTCTACCGAATCTTGATGGATCTGGGGCTGGCCAGAGGTCAGAAGTCTGAGGGAATATCCTCTGGAAAAATTTACACATGGGTACAATTGGCTCCAGTCTCAGTGTCTCTGGCCGGTGTATCCTCCCCATGATACGGTCTGTCTGGGTTGAAGTGAGAAAACTGATGACAATTAGTAAGGCCAAAATGGCTTTCCAAACTGTCAATAAACTATGTTTTTGTGTACTCACACAGAGCAGACCTGCAGGTATTGTCAGCCCAAAGCCTAATCTATGGCACATAACAAGAAAAACATTGATTTTCATTTCAGATGCCCAAGCATACCCAATATAAAGCTAAAGACACTGTTGGATCACGAGGGAAGTGAAAGGGCTGCCTTAGAAGATGATTCTTCCTTGTTTGAAAGGCTATTCATTCCATTAAGTTATCTCCTCTTACAGCTGTGCAAACAAGGGATTGGAAACATGTGGAATGACTTTCAAAAACAAATACTCTTTCATGACTAACCCTAAACAGGAAAGTATTCAGTTGGGAACATAATACAGCGTATTGCTTGCCTAACACCCCATGTCCTGAAGCAGCCAACTTGGAATCAGGGTAGCTCATCAGAAATAATAAAGTAATTAGTAGGCAGCTATGGAACAAGAAGTTTGACTGTGTGGAAGTTATTCTGCTGATAGCAGTGCCTGAATATTTGAAGCACTGAGCTGGAAGGCTTAAGGGGCTCAATAACCAAATGGTCAAACAGTTCTTACGTGTTCAAAGCTCCAGCTAGGACACTTGCCCAAAACCTGTGGCAAAAATCCTAAATAATTTCAATGAGACCTGGATTAGCCCCAACTCCAGTTTCAACAACAAACACTAGGCTAATGACTTTTTAGTTATAATTCTGTGAATCCAGAGTAATCTGCTGAAATGCAAATGCTGTCTCCTGGTTTCGGCTGCTGCAACACCCACCAGAATCAACCTGTCAGCATCCAGTCTGCACGTCAGACACTAGTTGATTGTAAAGCACTGCAGAAATTCAGTTGCTAATTAGCCTATTCTAAAGGCTTTTTTTCTGAGGCTAAAAATTTTTCCACCTTCAGCTGAAATGGCTGTCAGAAAGAATGATTTTGGATCTCATACATCAATAGGCAATATATAGAAATAGAAATAATTTTTGGTTCTAGAATGTATTAACATGACTACCTGCTATGATTTTAAACAATATTCGGCATGCTCTTTGGTTGTACACTGCATGTATACATGTCAAACAGCTAGTTAGCTTTGTCAGAGTACACAACAAAGGAATAAACTGATTAAGTCAGAAGGGTTCAAGCTGACAATCTTTTCTGGCATTAATCTCAGGGTGGAATATGGGCTTGAATTATTCTTCTTCACATACACCTTCTTATAATCTATTAAGTAACTTAAATATATTAAAATGATGCAACAAATGAGCCTTCTTAAATGTTTCAATTAAGGGCTGCTTTGGTTTTATTATATACGGAATCAGGTAGAAAACTGCTGTAATGTTGACTGCGAAATAGGCCTGTTTCATTATTGATTCAACATACCTCATGTAGCTACAAACTGAGGCACACACGTATATATTTTATTTCTTTCACTTTGAATGACAATGCAAACATTCTCATTCCTATGGTCAAAAATGCAAGTTCTTAGTTTCTAGGGTTAAAATAACTACCCTGGTCACATTAAGAATGCAAGACATAATGGATCAGCTGAGTCACTGAATCCACCACCAGCGTACAACTTTGAGTTTTAGTTTTATTAGTAGGCTCTGAGAAAAAAAAATTCCTTACTTGGAATAATCTTTATGTCTGAAAAAGGGATCAAGAAGAATAGGTTGCTGTTTTTCTCTTACAGTAAATTCAATCCAGGTGGGAGAGAATGAGATCCACTAATTCTAATATCCCAAAGGGCAGTAGGACAGATTTGCTGAAGGTATTAGGCATATAAAGTTACAGATAAATTCC